ATGGCCCACTAATTATCTGAATATGTTCTGCATTAAGGATGAATCTGATATTCATCGTTTTCAATCCAACTCCGAGATGATCCTAAGTTGAGTTGATTGGACAGAAACAGTTCAAAATGATTTTGCAACCCCAACCCTCCCCCACTCTCTCTTTCTTTTTGCACGCCCTTTTTTCTTTGTCCAGAAGCATTTGCCTAGTCAAATTTTCAGAAACATATGCTTTTACCTAGAGCTTGGGCAACTGTAATCCGTTTCTTAGGGTCCCTTGCTAGCATCTTCCTTAGGAGGTCCTTCGCACCATCAGATATTGTTTGAATTTTCATACATATGTACTACTTTAATCAAGTTCCATCTGAACAGAGATTGATTGTTCTCATTTCAAATTTCTATGGTACCTCACAGACTGAAACAGGAAATTAAAGTTGTTTCGCTGTGCTGGGGCATTTTTGTGTTTCCCTGCAGCTTTCTTGTAGCAGAATTCTGAATATATCCATCTAAATAAATAAAGAAAATTTTCACATACCACCCTAAAATGGAGGCACTCCACTGAGAAGAATGTATAAAATGACTTCAGCGCTCCACACATCTATCTCCTTGCCATATTTCCGATTTAACACCTCTGGTGCAACATAGTATGCACTTCCAACAAGGTCCTTGTACAATCTACCTAAAAAGTTAGCTAAAATTCAAGTGTTTGGTAGTGTTAGAGATTATGAGATTCGTGATTATTATAAGAATCAAATGCACAAAAAAATTCCAGAAAATCAAATTGAAAAGCCAAAAAAAAAAAAGTTGTAGTGTTACTTCCATCATTCACTTATAGGAAAAGAAATTGAGAAAAGAGGCTAATATACATACAAGGGATGTCATCAACTGATCCATATTCAATTTTCTGATGAAATTTGATTCAACTTGCACCTAATTTGGTTTAGTTAATGTTAATCTCGATAGTTCAATAGCAATGACCACCCAGTACAGAAAGATCTGAATTACACTGTGAAATTTTACAGGCTACAGCAGTACTGTTTTGAACACTGACGGCTATAATCACATCATTTGATTAGATTGGTTTGATGTCACACGGTGGAAACTTACAGGGGCAATGCTGCAATGCCAACCCAAAACAAATCGGTATGATATTACGTTCAACCTAAATCATTGATATACTAAAATTCATCCTTTTTATATCTTTTACCATGGAAAATGATTGAAAACAATTTAATCATGGTAATCTGTCCCCTGGATATTGATTCTTTAGCAATTTTTTTATGGAATACTAAAACCCGGCTTAAAACTGAAATAAAAAAGAATAAACATAAAATAATTTGAAAGAGATTAGAGAATTGGATCAAGCTATATGATCATGTCTAACAGGATCAACTTCGAGACAAAAAGGAATGAAAAAAATATATCATCCAGGGTTTGGAAGTTAATAGAGATATGTATACATTATAGGATATGTACCATTGTACATTCTTCGTTTTACCTTTGTATCTTTTTTTTTTTTTATGTAAATAATATGCAGCGACCTGGCACTTCATATAAATATATAAATCAGATTGTAAGTATTTTTAATTCAATGAATCATTTCTTGGAAAACGATTGGGTTTCCTTCTCCAGAAGGATTCTCTCAACCCCGATTCCTCTTCGCCTTCGATTTTCTCAGAAGTAATCAAAAGAGCAAGCTTGAATGAATATCAACTTCCAGAACAAAAGCATTTTAAATCAAAGAGAATCGGTAAAGAGTAGTAGGAGAAGCTTTCCTTCCTCGATGAAGACAGAGAGTCCAAAACCATTGGGCTTTATTGGAGAATTCTCATACTCAGGCTTCAAGTCTCTATGCATAACCCCCATAAAATGACAGTCATGCACCACTTTCACAATCTGCCTACCGATTGAAGCCGCTTGCCGTTCTGAATTAAGTCCCTTTAGCTTTAATCCGATCGAAAAGCTCGCCACCTGAACACAACTCCATCACCAAGTGCAGATTATGCCTATCTTCATAAGCACCTTTGAACTCAACAATATTTGGTTGCCCCGTTAGATGCTGAAGTATCAAAATCTCTCTTCTAGCATCCTTTATATCTTTGTCAGAAGTAGTTTACGCCTTGAAGCTGACTGCAGGTGTATTTTCTCCCGTTGCTTCTCAGTGCAGAGATAAGTAATACCGAACTGACCTCTCCCCAAACTCTTTATCAAGATCATAAAAGGTAGTGATGTCGACATAAAGTTTGAGCTAAATGGACCCAATCTGGGATGATGAAGGATTTTGGTTTTCCGAGGCTGGTTTTTGCCGACGTGGGTTAAACTCTTTTCCGGCTGATTTAGGCAATGGTTGATATGAGCGAGGGGAAGAATCAAATGAGGAAGAGAGGGATTTCATGAGTCCGGAATGCCTCAAGCAGAATCCCTGAGATTGCAGAGTCCCATTGATTGGCTGTTAAGAAAGGAGTTCTTTTTCTTCTGCTGTTGCTTCGTGATTAAGGTGGCTTAGCCTATAGAGATTTTTTTTTTTCGGTTTTTGTGATTGGATTGTGAATGATTTGTTGCAGGAGCATCCAGGAGAACTTTTTTACGAGTAGTTTTCGATACACTGTTGCTTTATTAGGCCTGAGTATCATTCCTCACCCTTTTCTGTTTGCACAAACTATCCTGTGCTGTGCTTGCCTCGCTATCTAGAGAGAGAGACAGAGAAGACACAAATAGCAAAAAGGGCAGAGGGAACGGATTCGGAGTTCAGTTTCGTGTTTCAGAACTTACTTCGGTTGCTAACAAAGCTTACGCTTTTCCATCTGACCGTTTTGTTTAGCCATTTGCCAGAAATCCCATCGAAGCCCAATGCAAAGTATACAGTTCCTGATTGTTGTCGTGCTCACCTCGCAGGCCCAACCCTGGAAAAAGCCCGAACAGCAAAGTAGGACTGAGACGACCTCCCAGGAGGGCGAAATCTAGGTCCAACCAAAGTCCTAGCTAACAACTTTTTGTCGTATTAAAGTGTAAAGCCGAACAAGACTTTGGGGTGTGTATAACCAGACTTGGTCTCTCAAACTCCCAACTTTGCCTCAATCCAAGTCTTGTTTGATAGGTACTAAACTAGATAAAAGAGTAAGAAAGAGTTAGTATTCCTTTGAATAAGATAATGACCTGCAGCTGGGGCATGACAGGACTGATTGACCATACCAATTTGTTTTAATTTTTTTAAAAATTATTTTATTTGTCACGCTATGGCCATGGTTGGATTTAGTAAAAAACAACTTGAATTTAATATAATATGGTTGATGATGTTATCTTCACAAAATTAAATCTTTTTTCACCTTTTTTGGGACTTGATCGAGATGTAACCAAAAAAGAAAAGCATGGCGGCTTTGAGGAGAATGAATGAAATGGACCATCCCCCAGCAACCGCAAGGAAAGCTTAAAGAAACAAGCAGTTATTTTGCTTTGTTAGAAGCTAGTTTGATTTCAGCGGGGATCAGTGGACGACTTTGACCAAGAACTCTCTTCAGAATTTAGGAACAACACGTTGGCTCCTGCCTTTTGCCTAGACGAAATCAGAGATTCAATTTCAGTGTTTTTTAAAGAATGGGGCTCTTCCCATGATTGACCTGCTTATTTGCTTTCTTAACCAAGTGGCCTTCCTTGGCCGATTTTCTTGTGATTCAGCCGCCATTTTTCCATTGCCAGGATTCCTTCTTGCCTTTGTTTTTTCAAAAACTTGATTTCACGATTTTCTTTCTTCCCAATTAATGGACCTTAGCCTCTGCCCTTCTGCTTCTTTCATCATGTCATGTTTTCCAGCTGAAGAGGCAAGGGAGTTGTGCTGCTTAGCAACTTCGGCAGTTATTTCTAAACTGTTTTATGCAATCTTCATCTCCATATTTGCAGTGGGTTAGTTCCTTTTTACCGTGTCTTGTTTGGTCCTTTCCATTTGAACCTGACAAAATGAAACAAAGGAAAATCTTTTCGGTTCATCCTAGAATGTTCAGAAGTATATATCTGGCATGTTTGCTAGAAAACTATGGTGTTAAAACTGATCAGAATCTGGTTTTATGTCTGCAGTTGGAGCAACTTTAGGAGCCCTGACCGGTGCTTATGTTGGGGCAAAAACCAAGATCGGTTGTCTTCATGGAGCCACTGTTGGAGCCGTAAAGGGCAGTTTTTTCTCCATCAAGTTCTTTAAAATTTCACTGATAGTTTGCAGTTCCGATGACGTGGCAACGAGGTATCTCCTCCAATCGGTAAGATCACCCCTGTCTCTGTCGTGCTTCTAAGTTTTCTTCCTTTCCTCTGCTGGCTCTGCCCATGCACTGAGATTCTTTGGACCACGTGGAATCCACGTCCCGTAATTGTCCACACACAACTTTCTGCCCTTTTCTGATCCTGTTTAAAGTGGGAAACTGGTCCCCATGATTCGTCCAGTCTAAATCCAACCAACATTGATCAGATGATATGAAAATGTCATGACTGTTCATAAAATTAAAGAGTAGTCTTCTTTTTCTTAATGCTTGAATTTGAATTTGGTTTTTGATTTAGATAAACGCATTGGACTCTACGTTCAACCAAGTCCCCTGGAATATCCCCGAAGGGTTGTCAAAGGAATCAATACAAAATATTCCAAAGATCAGAATCACAGAAGAAAACGTATGGGATTCATCCAGGAATAGGATCTCCTGCTCGATTTGCCTTCAGGTTCTTTTTTTTTAATCTATTTTTCACTTTTTCTCTTCCCTTCTGCCCCTATCGTTACTGCTTGTATGATTAGCAGTTTTCCTGTCAGTTTTGAGTGTTTTGACTAAACTCCATTGATCGAAACAGCTTTATGTTGATCATTCTTGTATACGGTTTCAAATTTCCAGGATTTTTTACAGGGAGAAGTAGTTCATAGCTTGCCACACTGTCACCATATGTTTCATGTTTCGTGTATCCAAAAGTGGCTAGGGGAGCATAAATCTTGCCCACTGTGCAGGAGAAGTTTTTGACACTCAAAGTGGAAGACAGAAAATTATGCTGGCGTCTGTAACCAGTTCTGTCTTCTACTACTTGGAAGGTTTGCTAAAACCCACTCGTCATGGACAAAGCTTCGATTCATGTAGTACAAGCTCGACTAGGAAGTTCTAACTAAGAGGGACACATAGCCACAACAGAATTATACTAGGAATTCAGAATTTTGTTCATACGGTAGCTCCTGATATGATTTTTTGTATGCATGTATACCCATTTATTACATTAATTTCTGGGAAACCCAATTTTTTTAAACGTGAAATCTGTCTATTTCATATTGTTTAGATGAAACACGTAGCATGAACTGCAAGCCAGCTTGGGTTTTGGTTCCCATCACCAAGTCATTGGCAACTAATTTCAACGAAATTTCCACGTAAATTAAACGGGCCTCTGCTGAATCTGACCAAAATAAGGTTTCAAACGACACTGGAAAGTGCTAAACGAGAGCAGCCAATGAAGCCCATGAGAAAAACATGGTGCTGGTAGACTTTAGACCAAGACAAAAGCTAGAAATCCAACACCACATACCAACTCCCGTCTTTTTGTACGCAATATTCAACTCTTAACAGCCGGCTCCAATGACAAAAAAAATTGATGTCCTGAAAATAGTGTTCTTGGCAAAAGTCTCCGCCTTCTCGAAACAAAGAATTACTTATGACTAAAATAATCACAGGGCATGAAAGAAACATATGTCGTGCACCGCAGTCGTAGACAAACCAGTCACCGAAACTGAGTTCTGTTGAGGGTACGCAGCAAAGGCAAATGTTGATGGGAGACTTAATTATAATTGAAAATCGAACAGATAAGCAAAGGGCAGACATGGGTACATGAGGGCGACAGCTTTATCAGCTCAGCTTGTTGCATCACGACTGTAGTACTGGTCAAGTGTCTTTGCAGGTATACGGTGGAGAAGTTCACGTGGGAAGATGCGAAGCAATGTCCATGCTAAATCAAGTGACTGGAAGATGTTGCGAGTATCATAAGCACCTTGTGTCACAAATTTTCTCTCGAATTTATCTAGGAACTCCAGGTAAAGCTGCAAGTTGATAAAGAACGGAGAAAAGTCAAAATGTAATTCTTACTACGACAGGCACAACAGACGCATATAAGTCTGAGAGAGTGAGAGGGAAACCAGATCCTCGGAAGAAAGTGCTTCCTCTCCAACCACGGCTTTCATTGCTTGAACATCTTTTCCAATAGCATAATTTGCATATAGCTGAAATCAAGGAAAACAGGGTTTCAGTATGAACAATACTTAGTACTTAAGTGGGAGAAACCCTTGCTTCATTTAGAACCTCTCAATCAGACCTGGTTGGACACATCAGCATGATCTCTACGAGTCATCCCCTCACCAATAGCACTCTGAAATGTAAATAATGAAAGGAAAAAGTAAGCATAAACTCCCAAATTCATGATTCTACTTGTTAATAAGTGAACAAATTTTCTCATATAAAATGAAATGATAACAATTAACAGTCATACCTTCATTAATCGAGAAAGTGAAGGGAGTACATTAATTGGTGGGTATATCTGCTCAGAAAATAAATAAATATAGACCAGATCAATAATTAAACACACTGTTCAGAGTTACAACAACAAATTTCCAAGAACATGAGCCCTGTGCATATGCTACAGTAGATTCAATAACCATGTTTGATTGATTAAAGCAATAATAAATACTGTTTCAATTACCTGTCGATTGTAGAGTTGTCTATCAATGTATATCTGCCCTTCGGTAATATAACCAGTAAGATCTGGTGTGGGATGCGTGATATCTGGTTTACAAAAAATAATCAACCGAATGAAATATCAGATCACGATCAATAAAACATAAAGAAAACTATACTGTGCTGCAGTTGCCTCTTACCATCATTAGGCATGGTCAAAATAGGAATTTGGGTGATGGAGCCTTTTCTTCCTTCTATACGCCCTGCACGTTCATAAATTGTTGCCAGATCAGTATACATATAACCAGGATACCCACGCCTTCCAGGGACTTCTTCTCGGGCAGCAGATACCTGTAGGCACATACAGAACATGATTTAATGATACCTGTCAAGCGTTAGCATAAAAGATAACCTGGCAGAGCATCAATTTATCAGTTTATCAGATTTACATCATTCTAAGCCACTGTCCAATGGATTAAAATCACTTTCCAAGTCATTTCTAGCTTCTTAAAATACCAATGGAAGTTCTTAAGAAAACAACAGTTTGCCTTTGACTTTTTGAGTTAAAGACGATGGATGTTCAAAGAGCATCAACAGAAGGCTATTAGTTGGTATAGGAATCATTCGTCAAAGAAATTGCATGTCATATATCCTCCCAGCTGAACAGATATAAACATATGTACCTCACGAAGAGCATCCGCATAAGAACTCATATCTGTCAATATAACCAGCACATGTTTCCCACATTCATAAGCCAAATACTCTGCAGTTGTGAGGGCAATTCGAGGCGTGATAATACGTTCAATTGTGGGGTCATTGGCCTGTAAACACATTAAACAGAGCAGTTCAAGATTAAAAACAGAGCAATGGGACTAATTTCTTGATAAGAATGCACATAAACAAAGTCATTTTCAATGGGACAAAACTTAGAATGACATGAATGTCTATAACCTGAATTACTTTGCAGGAAAAGAAAAATGCTGAGCAAAAAGAGACTAATTAATGGAAATTACCAGGTTTAAGAAAAGCGTCACTCTCTCCATAGACCCATTTTCCTCGAAATCTCTCTTAAAAAATTGAGCTGTCTCCATGTTCACCCCCATAGCAGCAAACACAATGGCAAAATTGTCTTCTTGATCCTAAAAGTCAATCCACAGGACAGGAAAATGCACACAACAAACAGTCAATAATCATAAAGCACACAAACAAGTCAATCTTCCTTAATATCACAGTAGGCTACAATGAGACGTACGCCAAGGAGATTATCAGACTTTTCCAACCACTTTACGAGACCTGCCTGACGACAAATTTGAGCAGCTATTTCATTATGAGGAAGACCAGCAGCAGAAAAAAGAGGAATCTTCTGTCCACGAGCAATGGAGTTCATGACATCAATTGTTGATATCCCTGTCTGAATCATCTCTTCAGGGTAAGTTCTCTCACTAGGATTGATAGAGCTCCCTGGGAAAGACAAAGAACAGAAATTTACAACGGAACATATACTGATTCATCCTTCAATTTCTAAAATATCATAGTCTCTAGCATACACTTACCAGAAATATCTAGGTATGCCTCAGGCAAAATAGGAGGGCCATTATCAATGGGTTTTCCAGAGCCGTTAAATATGCGCCCTAGCATATCCAATGACACAGGCGTTTTCAAAACCTGTAAAACACACATTAGAAGGGGCTTAACAACCAATAGTCTACAAAAATGACTAAACCCACCGCCATTGCATTTCTAAAAATTTAAAATCACAAACAAAGAGGATTAAAGATGCAACAAATGGGTGTTCCAAGAATTTGCCTCTTTCAGAAAGCTCAGAAGATTCATTTGTAACCATAAAATTGTTGCAAGACAGGTCCAAGACAAGGAGATCAGAACTATATATAATCAAATACTAAAACGAACAAAGTTTGTGCCAGTTATAAAGCACATATGTCATCAAAAAAGGTTGTGCATCAAAGAAAACACAGGGCAAAAAAAATATATCACAGATGTTTACAAAATCCTATAAAGGTAATCATTCTACTTCTGCTAGCCATAATAAAAATGAAACCTATAATACCAAATTCAAACAAAAGCAGACCATTTACCTCTCCTGTAAATTGCACAGTTGTATATTTGTTGTCAATTCCAGATGTTCCTTCAAAAACCTGGAAAAGGAAAAAGGGAAAAGAATAATGCAGCCACCATCTCAATAGATTTAAAGACATTAACAGAACCAATTGTCACCTACTGCTTTCAGCAATTTATCTCTCATGTTTATGATATTATTGGCTTTAATATATCAAAATGGACTTCAAACAACAGTTATTTATAACAAAGGCAATAAAACCTTTTCCTATGTGCACAGAATTCATGGTTGCATGCTTGGACAAATACCTGCACAACTGCTTTCTCTCCATCAACTTCCAAGACTTGACCACGTCGAGTTGTTCCATCTCCTAATCGGATATTGACAATCTCCTGATACTTTGGACCCTGAAATATTTCAAAATTATTCACATTATATCATCAAACAACTCGCTATCAATTCTGAAGATAAACATCAAGTGATAGAAGAGCAAACCTACCTTAACTTTGTCAAGAATGACCAATGGTCCCGCCACACCCGACACAGTTCTGTACTCTGCAAACCAAAAGTCTCCTGATTAATGTTCTAAACAATCATCACACAGACCAAAATAACTGCTAATGGCACTCAAGCATCCCATTACACCTAGATCATATTTGATGCAAAATCACTCCAATCCAAAAAACGAAAGAATTAAATACCCCTCTTAACTTCACCATCATGTTATACATTTCATGAATTTAAACAAATGACAAAAACAATCAACCAAAAGCTGAAAATGAAAACCACCCCCATCATCATGCAGTTCACTTAAAAATAGATAAAAAAAACAGTCCAGATTAGGCGATGATCAGAACTCAGAGTTAAAGGCTTTGCATGATATACGGTGAACAATAAAGAAAATGTAAGCACGAGACTAGAAATAGTAAGTTACCCATCCCGATCTCCAGCGTTCCCTCCTCCATGTCAATAAAGTTCTTTTCTGCTCCCATCTTCAAGTTAAAGCTGATTATAACATTCAAAACAGAAACATATAAGCATATCACTATTCACAACACTGAACCAATAGTTAAGCAGATCAAAAGAAAGCGGAAAGAAAAATTGAAACGTTATTTCGGATCCAAACAAGTAACCGCCGTTTTTTGTTACGGATTGAACCTAAATTCGCAAAGTTCGAAACTTCTGTTCTTACCGCGATTAGAATTTAGAAAGAGTTCGTTTTGAGCCAAACAAGCTTTTGGCGAATTTGATCCAAAATGAGAGAAGATAGAGCCAATTCGATTGGGACAGGTTGTTTGAGCCAAAGGAAAAGAAGTGAAAAATCAAAATGGTGAATTTAAGCACTAAATGACAAAGAATTTATGGAACGAAAATTTGTGGAGGGATCTGATAAGATGGATGAGAGAGTTGAGAATGTGATATTAAAAATAAATAAATAATAAAAAAAGTCTTAGAATTTTATTGTTTATGCAATTAAGTCCTTTTTTTATTATTATACATAATATAGGCCAACAAATTTTTTACTTTTAAATTTATATTTAAATAAAATTTTAATTTTAATAAAAATGAACAACCGCCAAGCACCATTTTAACAGATATTTTTCACATAACATTCCCGATCATTTTCATATCAATTATTACGTAATTATATTATCATATATAATGTAAATAAAAAATATTAATTATTTTTTAATTTAATAATTTTAATTTTTATTAAAAGATAGAGCTTGCTTTGATATAAATAAAAAAAATAAAAATATGTTTGAATATAATAGAAACTTAATTACATAAATAAACATAATTTAGAGATTTTTTTTAAAATTTTATAAAAATAAAAAAAACCCGGCTTGATCCGGTTCTTTTCTCTCAAGTCTTGACCGCTTTGATAGTTACTGCTGTCACGGAAAGCATGTGATCTTATGTGATTTTTTTTTTCTTTGTTAGTAATAAAAAAATTAAATAAAACTATAATTAAAAAGTATATTAAAGTGTTTGAGCAATTAACAGTATTTTGGTAGTATATGATTATGTGAAGTCACGGAAAGGGTAAGGGAAAGAATATGATTATTTTGTTTACCAAACATTGCGATACTCGTATTAATGGCAATCCCACTAGACTAATGTTTTCATTGGTGGAGATTGAGATTTTTTTTTTTTTAATTTTTCCTTCTTTCGTTTTGTGCAACGTGTCTATGAAGATGACGTAGGCATCAAAGAATATACTCTTTAGTTTCTAGTTTCTTCTTACCAGCCCTTATCATTCAACAAATAATTATGTTTAGACTATAGTTCTAGTTTAGCACTCTAAGCTGACTTTCAATCCCAAATAATAGCTTAACTAGCTTCAACTATAGTGTTTGATTTGATTATTGTTGCTAATTGCTTTTTATATAGTCCACCCTATTATTTTGTTTTTCAATTATTTTAGTTATACTTATAGTTGTTGGTTGTAGTAAATATTTGGCCAATTTAATTTTAAAATTTCAAAAATTAAATTATAAAAATATAATTGAAATCAACTGAATTATAGTAAACATTGAAAACAATCAAAATTGATTTATCTCGATCTATTCCAATTAATTATTTTATCTTAAATTGAGAATATTTTTCAGATATATTTTTAAAATATTAATAATATTTATATAAAAATAAATTATTAATAGTTAATTTTCAATGGCTTTCCTGGTAAATTTTGGAAAAAAAAAACAAACAAAACTAATCAAATAAACTAATTATCTTTATTGATTAATAAAAAAACGATTCTAACTGACCGAATTCAATTAGTTTCTATCGATTATTTTGATTTAAACCAAGTAATATTTATTCCTAAATTCGAAAGCAAACTTTTTTGCCTAAGTTCGTTACTGCTGGAAAAAGGCAGAAAAGGAAATTGCCGAAATGAGGAAAGTTCGAAGAAGCTTCCTCCGTTTTGATTTTTACAGTTTAGACAATAGACAGCTAAGCTTGCCACGTTAGCACCGCAAAGGCACATGGCACACGTGGTCTGCAGTCGAGTGGCAAGCAACGATTATCCTAGTAGAATAGTAATTATTTATTTATAGTTTCCAACTTCTAGGCTTGTCAATAATGTGGGTGCATCCAAGCTCGATGAGATGGGATTACGTTCATTAAAGAAAAGGCAAAGTAAATTAAATGCACACCTTTTTTATTAAAGAAAAGAAATTTGGTAATGGCAAAGTGCAAGACATCCTTATTGCATGTGGAGCCTTGTGCACTTTGACACCCCCGGCCATGCGGGGGAATTATCACTAGTACTGTTATCACCGATTCTACAACCATTTCCTCCGTGGGAATTTCTTTAACTATGAGAAAGCAGTAAAGAAAATAAGGAGCATCAGCTTCCAACCACACAAGAATGCTGGCTTGGGAAAACACGTTTTTCTTGTTACTGTCAAATGTTGATGTTCATGGCTTAGCTAAAATAATAGAAAACCACCATAGCGTATATAGATCACCAAGGGAAAGCCAAATTATAACAAACGGAGGTCTGACAAATCTTTGGTTATGGCAGAATGAAAGCTTCCATTAGCAAACATTAGGTGCAGCTCCAGCTGACAATGATCAGCTTCCTTCAATTGAGCCTGGGGCCACAGCTCTGACGCACTTGGGGTGCACCTCGTACCCACATTCCAGGCACTGGTAAGCCCAACCAGAACCCTGCTCATCACAATCGCAGCATATAAAGGGCCCTCCTCCAGTACCTTCTGATACCAAGGTAAGCTCATGGCGGTGTCCTGCATGGTACTCGGATCTTGGTAAGCTCTTAGCTGCCTCCTCCATTTCTTTCTCTAGCAACTCCACTTTGGCATCGGTGAAAGGGTATGCATTTTCCTGGTACAGGTTTATAAGATTTCTTCCTTGCTTGGTTACTGTTTTGCCGTCAGGCCCTATGATTATCAAACATGGAATGCCTTGCACATCGAAGTACTTTGCAAGCCTTTTAATGCCGGGGTCTCCGAAAGGCAAAGCTAGCCATGGCATGGAACCAAAGTAGGAGTCAAACGAACTCCGATCGCGATCATTCGACACAAAAACTATGTCGAAGTCCTCACCACCTTTTTCTTCCAAGGTTTGCTTGATTTTCTGGTAGATGGATATAAGCTTGGGAGTGAACTTAACACCTGGAAGGCACCATTGAGCTGAGAAGTAGAGCCCAATTGTCTTGCCTATCAAGGAATCCACTTGCGCCTGCAAAGGAAACATATACAACTCAATCAGCCCTTAACACAAGAGTATTAATCTCAAAGCATCTCAGCCACAGAAGGAAGGGCTCAGTAACTCCAAGATCAAGTCGGTGAATCCAGTTTCGCCCTTGCCTCAGATGACACTGGGAATTGGACCTTACAGATATGATAATGTCGGCTGAGGATACCTTTTCAAAAAGTAAGCGTAAAGCACAACATGATCAACAAGCGGAGCTTACTCACTTAGCATACCTGAAATAATACCCTGTTAAATTTTGATTGCTCAACACATACTTACTGGCATCAATATAAGCTATAAAGAGAATTTGCTTCATTAACTATTCAAGAAAATTGGTTTAATTTTATTAAGATGTATAGGGTATGCCACTCTTGTGCTCGAGATTAGATGACATTCACTATAGCCAATGCCCCAGAAAGGTATATGAGGTTCTATTTCTTGAAACTATGTTGTCTATGAATGCAAGAAGAGACTCATTAAAGACAATAAATGCTAAGTACCTTTAAAAGAACAATTATTTTAGGATATAATGGAATGTTAAAAAAGAAAAAAATGATATTTTTGATTGCAAAAAGTAGAAAAAAGTTGTAGAACATATAAAGTGCAATGCGCACATGAAAGAAGATGTGTGCAGCTAAAAAGAGACACAATATTACATACTTATATTAATACTCTCTCACCAACAAAATCTAAACCTCAAACAAAATTTGCAACCATCAATCAATATCAGTGAGGTCTTAAAAGCTAAGCCACGTTTAACAACATATTATCCAACTACATTACATCAATAAGATGTAAGCACTGACCTTTCTAGTTATGGATTGGCCCAAAATATAGTCTCTATCAGGGTTTGTTAATAAATTCTTCAACGTCTGAGTCTCATGCCTCATCCTCTCTTCCCTTTGTAATTCCTCCAACTTCTCTTGGGTAAATGGGAATGCTTCGACCCCATACCGGTAAATGAGTTCCACACCATCATAGAAAGTTGCACCATCCTTGTTATCTTCAGGCTGCAAAATAATTAAGCAAGGAATGCCCTCGACCTCGAATTTTCGGTTCATGGCCTTCTTTGTCTCCAAGTCAGAGAATGGAATTGAGAGCCATGGCATGGTTTTCCTGTAATTGTTGAAGGCATCCAAGTCTTCATCAGATGACACAAATACAATCTCAAAATTAGACCCATTGCTCTTCAGCTGCTCATAGACATCGACAAGTACTTGATTGAAATTTCTACACGGCGGATACCAGTTAGCTGAGAAGTAAAGGCCAATCACCCTGCCCTCAAGATCCGAAATTTTCACCTGCTATAAATAAAGAAACCAAGTAATGGTGCGATTCAGCACTAAATGAAAAAGTGAAGTTTGTTTGTCCACAAACCGATACTCTTAACATTTTATGTTAGGTAATCTATTTGAAGCTAATGAGAAAGGATACTATAACTAGGAAAGTAGTATAAGTAAGAATCCACACCACAAAAAATCAAACCCTAGAAACCCCAAAATCTGAAAGCGATGTGCTACCAGCTTTTCAGAAACGTAAGGATAAATATGCCACGTGTTACCGCTATGGCGTGAGTGTGAGGCTAAAGCGATGAACAGCAAAGCCACATGTCCTTCCAGCTTAGTTGTTCACAGCACAAACTGCAGTGTGGGAACCCTTATTGATAAGGACAGGCATATTTGGCATGTGTTGCTCGTGACAAGGAGTATCTTAGCGCGCACCCAATCCCCCAGGAGGAGTAGAGGGAGGGGCGGAGGAAGGATGGAGGTGGGGTTTTTCAATCAGCCCGGCATCCCACCCTCACACAAAGAATTCTTCCCCCTATTCCCTTCCCCACAAGAGCATCATAACCACGACAAGAACACCAAAAAGAATATTTCTTCACCACCAATTTTGTTCGGGCAGTGTTGGATTGCCGACAGGAGGATTAGAGATTTTACATTATGCATCTTACACAGTCCTTCAGTTCTCACTCCCAGCTAGTTTCATGTGATTCCATACCAAAGTAGCATATCTTTTAAAAGATTCAGCTTACCATCATAATTACATAAGACGACCCAGAATAATTTTTTCTCTTCAAAACTAAATCAACATCATTTTCGAGTTTGATAATTTAACAAAAGCTGTGCCAACTAGTGAAATAACATAAGATCTACTCACTTAACAAGTTCTATCAGACAACCCCATATGTTTTTACCTCTTTGGTGGTGCCATAATAGATCCGGATGATCAGTATCATATCAATGATTGATACACTAACTTAACAATTTGTGCTGGCTAGCATACACATTAGCAGATGGGAGTTAGGTTTAAGACCTCTTACAAAATCAAACTTCCTGGAAAACGTGTTGATTTTCTTCTCCATCCCATAAAATCAATCTAATTCAGTAGACTCGGTACATGAAATATTGTACTATATTCCGAGGTATAAACTTAATTATTGCCTGGTTAGAAATAGAAACTAACCAGGCAGTTTGGTGAGGATCCATGGCAACCCAAACTAACCCACCTATTAGATTCCAAGAGGGAAAGCCACATGTCAACATTAGTGAGAAAAAAAAAACTATAGATTGTACTGAAAAAAGAGCAATGGCAGGTGAGTTTCTTGCCATTTCAAAACCCTAATGAACTTTCCTCTCTAACACAGACCGACTAACTTACCAGCTACCAAGCCATGTGTACTGTATTCCCAGCGGTCACTTGCTACCAGACAAATCTCCTCAAGATTTCAAGGATAATACGTATTTAGTAATCTATATTATATTTTAAGTAAAATAACTTATAAACGGATAATTTATTAGGAATTAGATCGTAATAATAAGTGTAGTTAATTAAATAAAGTTCATTTTAGAGAAAAATAATACAATAATAACAGTTCCAGAAGGTTCGTCTGAAAGGTCTGGATGTAGTTTCAGTTAGGAAGTCTTGTTCCTGCTGCCTCTCTCTATGAAGTTGGACCAAGCTAGGAGAAGAAGAGGGAGAAAAGAAAAGGTAGAAAAGGGGCCGATCTATGATGATCGAGAGTACAAAAAGTTTTGGCAGAAGATTATTGCGGTGAAGCCATGAGTGAGTTTGGCCAAAAGCAAGTGCATGCTTCATCTCTGACCCACAACCACGTTTACACTAAAAAAACATTAGATGCTGAAGATAAAGAACAAATGCTTCAGCAAAGAAGAAAAAAAAAACCATGGATAAACCAGGGTCTGGTAGCTAAAAACCCAACGGATGTTAGACATATTCCTTCCATAAAAAGCAAAAGGTAGAGAGAGAGAGAGAGAAGGGAACCTGATCAGCTTCAGCTTCACTGGAGGAGAGAAGATAATCCCGATCCTTAGAAGCCAAAAGAGAAGAAAATCTAGATGTTGAAATCTTCTCGGAGTCACCGTTTGTCAGACTTTGAACCAGATTGTTGGAGTTGTTTTCCCAATTCATCTCCTTCATCGCTTGCTTTCTCACCAGTTTCTCTCTCACTCTTTTCGTTTTGGCGTGTCCAGATTGAGTCAATTACCAGGCTCCCCAGTAGTTCCAATGCTTATATTCCTTGGAACCATATTCTTTGCACATCATTACATCCGTCGAAACCCCATCATGCATCAGCCCACACGTAGCATTCACTCCAAAATTCATGAGAGAGAGAGAGAGACTCCAACATTGCTTGTCATGTACATGAGCTATAATGCTGCGGCCATGCAGAGCCCACCAATCTACACATACATCTGCCCGCTTGATCACAAATGAACGACCCATATTCAATATTGGGTCAGGTACCCGAAAACCTGCCACGCGTATGCCCTTTCGGTTTGCCACATTGGCCTTTGGAAGAAAAGGTTAATCTCCCAGCGATGCCCAGCTACGGCCTATGAACAAGGTCCCGTGTTGTCATTAAAGACGTTGAATTGATGTTGTGAAAGCCAAACAAACCGAGGCGACACCTGTCTCTCTTCCTCCCACTCTCTCTTATTTACTTCAAAAATAATACTAAAATAAAAAAAAAAGAATTAGTGTACTTTCTTCCCCACCCCCCCAACCCTCAAAGGTATGAGAGTCTCTACCTCTATCTACGAGTCCCCCATTCACCCATCTCATATGAAATCTGATCCAACGGTATCTGATAAAAATCATAAAAATAAAAAATTAATTATTTCAAATTTAATATCAATTTTTATCAAATTTTTATACACATATAACATATGATTTAAGAAATTAATATTATCAAGTGTAACTGATTTGATTAAATACATCGATCTCTTTAATTATCATAATACATTATTATCAGGTAAATAAAAAATATTAATTAATATTAAAATTATAAATAAAATAAAATATTATAAATTTAATTGAAAATTTATTATAATATAAATATTTTATTATTTAAGCTTTAAAAATCAAATAAACATAATTTCCTGTTATCACCACATAAAATTTGTTGCTTTTTTTCCCCTTAAAATAATTAGAAGAGCCTTTCACCCTTAGTGCGTGCGCCTATGCGGCTGAAAGCCTGTAACAATTAGCTTTGAATTCCCATTTATTAAGGGACCCCACTATGGTAACACTTGGCACCGTCCGACTCGAAGACCTTACACAAAAAGTACTCTTCTTATTATTATTGCCGCTCGTTTGCATTCCGGACACATGTTGCATTGGTTAAAGTTTTTTCATTTTTCTAGGAAAGACTTTCCCCTCCCTTGCATTTACGCATGCCATTACCTTGCACGTGGCAACCTACTCGCTCCCGTCATATCATTACATGTCGGTGATGTCACCGAAATCCAGTTCCCCATATTTTCCTGCTCTCCTTTCTTTCAAATTAAAACACTCAACCCACCAACAACAACAACACACAGATTCCTGCAAAAAATAACCAAAGAGAAAATGGGGGTACCCAAATTCTTCAAATTGCAGCAAAGGGATCAAACTTGGCTGATGTAAAAACGGTAAAATTGAAAAAAAAAAAGAAAAAAGAAAAAGGTGGAAGAGGAGTAGAGGGGAGCATAGGTGTGAGATTTGGGCTCCGCCAGGTGGAAAAGGGGTCCCATTTTCTTTTCCGGATAATGGTGCGAGAAGATTAGGAGTTTCGGACAGGGATAGAGAAAGAAAGGCGGAGAAGAAAAGGCCGCAGCCAGGTTGTAAAATGTTTGCCCTTGGTGACAGCTCTTTCCGACGTGCCTCGTCTTTATAAGCCAATGATAATCCAATGACATTCGCAGAGATGGTGACAGACGGCATTACCAATGAATGGCGACCTAACTTTAGCCTGAAAATCCCCATTCTACTGTTTCAGATCACGCAATCTCCTTTCACTAGCGAACTTTTTAACGCTGATCAATTTGTCTAGACTTCAAGATCAGCTTAATTTTCAAATGGAATCTGACCAAAATGGCATAAAAGAAATTATGACTTTGTGCAGGGTTGTATTCATATTAAGTCACTATTATCTGAAAACTTAATACATCTTAAACTCTACTTATACTGTCATATAATATTTTAATAATTTTTAAATTAATATTTCATGAATAAATTCTGTTTTACGAGAATTATGCTGTTATTATCAAAACAATAAAATTATTTTATATTACTAAAACAATGAAATATTTGAAATATGTTGAGACGGAAATTCCATTTCATTAAGAAAAAATTATTGGGTAAATGATTTAAAAGCTTAAGTAGCCGATTTTTTTTTTTTTGTTTTCTAAACATGAAAAGATGGGGTGGGGTCAAATTTATCGTCTGAGGAGAGCACGGAAGAAGAAAATATCAGGGGGCCGTACGGAGGAGGCCACGTGTAAGAAAAGAGGACAAGTGTCACATGATGCAGGAGTGGATGGAAGTTGTTGGGGTTGCTGTCAATTGAATTCCAATTATTGGAATCTTTAGAGCTTCGCGGTCCCAACACAAAAGCCCCAAACATCGCGGCCAACGAAGCCCACGTGTCAAGCCCGCTGCCGTGTCGAAGTGAGCAAAAGCAAAAAAAGAGACAGCGCGGACCCTACCATTCCTGTTTTAATGGAAGTTCGTGACCTACAAGCCAGAGCGATTAGGTGTTTCGTGTCGAGTTCCATTTGGAGCACGTGGCGTTGTATTACAGAGTTTGGTGAAGCGCCGGTAATCGCTTTCAAATGTTAAATGACTTTGGGAAAAAGGTTTGTCAAAGTTCACTTCATCCTTTTTGTTGGCTTTGGATGCAAAGCAAAACCAAATTTTAAATACAAAAAACATTTATATTTATTAAAAAAAATTTGAATATTTTATATAAAATTTCATTCTTAACAAACTTTTCACATCTTCATCAACAAAAAATATAATATAAATATATAAAAATCAAAATCTTTGGAAAAAGAGGAAAATTAAGTACATGATTCAACATATGAATATATTAAAAAAGACATAGCCTTATAAAGAGGGATTAGCATATTTAAAAAACTATAACAAGAAAAAAATGACATATTATCAATCACTTGGCGATCTTCCTTTAGCTGAAGCCAGAAATTGGGTTCATAATGGGCCTATGACTGATTCTAAATCATTAACTTAGTTTACAATCTTAAAATATGGGCTGGGATTTCATAAACCCAAATAAGAGCAGTGGAGGCATTTGGGCTCATTCAAGCCCGAGCACTAAATTTCATGCTGACGTTAAAATGGAATAATATTCGGTCTATTCATTTTAAATTTTTAAATTTAATCTAAAAAATTAATTTATTCTGATTAATTAGGATAATCTTTTATTAGTGGTTAATTTTTTCATGATTTAATTATAAATTTTTAATCTCGTAAATTATTATTTTTAATCAATTAATTTTAAAATATAAAAAAAAACTGAATTAACTAAATTTAATAAGTTTTGATTGATTATTTTAATTTACGATCGATTAATATTTGCTTCTAACCCGTAATCACTTAATTAGAGTCTTACGTAACTATGTGGTGGCAACTGAACAACAATTAACAAGGATTTTCAATTTGATAGTTTGTTGATAAAACTTAAAAACACATATCATAGATGATCTCTTTCTTTTTCGATGCATGTTCTTTTTAATAACGTTAGACAACAAACAACCACAATTTCAATCTCAATCAATGCTTTACGACACCAACTTTATATATATATATATATATGCATATCATGCACGTGTCCTCTATAAATAAATAATCGTATTTTAACAAAACTCAATTGGATATTGGTACTTCCATCCTAGGTTTTTATTAATTATGAGCTCCTTCAACTATGTTTCAATAATTTTAAATTCTAACCAGGCCCACATTTCTATTTGTTTTTATCTCAATGTTTGGTTTTTTCCTCGTCAAGCCCACAATATTCTATTAGAGCTAAGTGCTTGTTTGGTTTAATTTTTTTTAACTTAATTATCTCTTAAAAATAAAAATCAAGTCAAATATAAATTTTAAAATACTCTTTATAAAAAAGTAACTATTTTTTAAAAAATAAATTTTTTAAAAAATAGTTTCAGAAAAAACTCTAACTTTTTTTCTTTCTTTTTTAAATATAAAAAAATTATTTTTGTTTTAAAAATATCCTCACTTATTACAAATAATTACAATATTACATTTTCAAAAAAAACCCTTTATGATAATTTTAAATAAAATTATAACTTATATAAAAAGAAACTTATAAAAAAAATTTACCAAACAATTTCAACTTAATTCAAAAACTATTATTTTTCATAAGAGTTTCATAATAACTTTTAAATTAAAAAAAAATTAAACCAAACAGCATAATCAACTTTTTTTATAAATAAAAAAATCTAAAAAAAAATTATTTTTTAATATCGAATATCATATTATATCTTATGATAAATATATATTATACGAAACATATTTTATATCAAATATAATGATATTAATTTAATTAATATCGCATATGGTAAGATATTGTTATCTTACGAAATGCTTAAGTAAAAATCTTTGGTTTCGAAGCCAGAAGATTTCTGCTGCGGCAAGCTTCCAACCGAGTCAATTTTTTCCAGGCCAGTTTTGGAAACACAAAGGCAATCATTGATTCATATGGTACCATCAGATCAATAATACAGCTGAAGAGCATATGGTTGAGTGATTGATTGATTGATTTGGTGGGTTTTAGCTCAAAATATGTTTTCCCAGACATAGTTTTGTCTTGGAATGAATTGCAGGAAGACGAATGGGGACACCTTTTGTTAAGAAGGGGAATGGTATTTGCCACGAGGCCTCTGCCCACGTTCAATACAAGCGAAATTTGTCCATATTCATTTTACCTCAAAATCATTGCAAAAACAACTTTGTTTTTTTTTTTTTGGGTATAATTGCAGAAACAAATTAACACAGCTGGCTATTTCTTATTATTATTTTTTCTATATATGTGAGGTTAAGATTTGAAGAGAGATTGTTAGCAGTATGGCATGTGGGCCTTCCCTTGCATCACATACTTTTGTTTCGAAATTTGGCTTTCATCCATCAATATTCTCCAAATGGAGAATTTTTTGATACTAAACCTCTTATCAAATTTTGGAAATAAATAAGAAGATGAATTTGTTTAATACGTGTTAAAGTCTAATCGATCGAAACCAATTCTACTTAGGGTTGGTTAGGTGAGCTTTCATCTCAAATTGTTGTTGTTTTATTTTTTAAAAATTCACATCCTTTTATTAGGATTTATGGTACAAACATACATAAAAATAAAATATTTTTAATAGTTTATTTGAAAAATCATCATTTTGAATAAAAATAATGAACCTAATTTAATTGACTGGTTATACTTTAATTTAAAGAATTCTTGAAATTTGGGATAGAGACAATGGAATAATTATTTTATAAAAAAACCAACAAAAATTCTCGATAGATAAAAATAAATTATATGTTCTGAATTTGATTTATCATTGGTATAGAACATGGGGTGATAGGCAACCTCCTCACTCATTGCTTTCCTCTCTTAATTAGTGGCCAAATCGACCCCATAAATTAAGCCTTTTGGGCACAACAAAATTGGCAAGAGTGAGAAGTACACGAAAACATAAAAGGATAATAAATGCCTATGCCTAACCCATTCAAAAGTGACTTAGAACTTTGAAGAATATGACCCCTTTCTGCCCCAATCAACCAAACCCACACAATTACTGAAGGTATTAAATGCTAAGGAGATTTTAGATTTTTTAAGATATTTTCGTATTTGAATCTTGTTCATAAGTGCTTACACTCATTACTGTTTTATCTTTTAATTAATAACAGTATTAATACTTTTAAATACTTCTAAGAAAATATACCAAAAAAGCTTTCTACTATCAAATTGTTTGTTACTCACAAATTTTATTGCAGTTTAGGTAACCTGTAACCATGGGAAGATAAGCTAGAGTCGTGGTCATGTGGCAATCAAATTGTCCAAACTTAGATGATTAAAGTTAATAATAATATTGTATCAGCATTGAACTCAACGTTAATTGCAAAAATCATTCATTTGATCGGAAAATGACACAAACCCAAAGCTGTGAGCATTACGATATTACATCAATAAGTATAAGAATTTTTTTTTGATAGAATTGAGATTTTTTTTATAATAAAAAATGATTTATTGAATTTTTTATATAAAATTTTATAAAAAAATTTAATATTTTTTATTATTTTAATAAAATATCAAAAATATTTTTTATTATTTAAATCATTTTGTCAAAAATATTTTTCATCGTTACTCAAATTTAAAAAATTTTAAATACAAATGATAGTTTTTAAGAAAGTTGCAAGATCTAATATTTATCCATAAAAATAAATTTTTATTTTTTGAAATAAGTATTAATCCTGAAAATTTTGTCTAAAAAATAATATACAAAAAAACAAAAGGATCCTAAGTTGTAATTCTATTTCCGAAATCAAGTAAAAATTAATTGCAGCCTTAAGTAATTTAATTGGAAGAATGACACAAACCCCCAAGAGCTGTGGGCATATAAAGAGACGGTGAGACAGCTACTTCGGGAGCAGGCGGTGAGCTGCCATAGCAGCCTGCCAGCACTCACTCTACATGCACAAAAGAACACTGGCGACCATTTGGGTAAGTTTCGAGAACCCGAAGGACTGTTCTGCCCTTTTGAATATTATATTAAATACATGGAAATCAAGAAAGGCAATTTGTTCCCATTCGTGGCATAACCAGATTGATCGCAGGCTGGCGTCCATAGAGGTGAAATGCCTCGCTTGGCTTGCAAACTTTTTGTTATACTCACAGAGAAGATACATGCCGATACTTCAATGCCATTAAATGGGTGAAGTAACCATCTGATCAAAGGTTATACGTAAATCGAACGGTTCCTGAAAAGTACAGTCTTTGACACATATAGTAGGAGTTGTTGCTGATATACACCATAGGCAACCATGCCGGTTTATGAGTCTTTTACTTTTCATTATTCTATCAAATTTTTCTTGCTTTTTTCCCTTGAATTCTCATCGTCCCTTTTTTCCAACTTCCACACCAAAAAAGCCAAGAAAGCAAGCTCTGCAAGAATGGAGGATTTTTAAGCCAGCAAAATCCCACATCATCTACAATATCAATGAAAATTTAACTGACAGAATATTACTAAAAAGGACAAAAAGAAGGAAACCCAATACATGCATGAAAGTGAAATAACTGAGATGAACATCATTCTTCGATCTTTTTCCTAGGAAAATTCTTAAATACAAACACCAAATACTGAACTTTATACTATTAAAAGAAAGACCCTTAATTTGGTTAAGGTTAAGGCTCAGCAGGGATTCCCATCAGAAGCATCGAAGAGCTGATCAGGCTCAAGCTTGGCCCTACAAACAGGACAAACAGAATGCTTAGAAAGCCAGGTATCAGCGCATTGCAGATGAAACCCGTGATTACAACCGGGGACCATTCTAGCAGGTTGCTCAGCCTCAATCTCATCGAGACAGACGGCACACTCAGTCCCCAAGACAAGCTCTTTCCCAGTGACCTTCGGCAGCTTCTCAAGCTCCGAAACAGACAACCCTTTCTCAGCCACCTGCTTAATCGCCAACGACCCTGAATTACCAGTTCGATAATTCGTGGCGTACCATAAAAGACAGATATATACAATGAAAACCGCGCTCATGCCAGCGCATGGCAGAAAAAGGGCTAAGAAAACAGAAACGAGCATTGGGTGGTGACTGCCGGCCGTGGCGGTAGAGTTTAGGGCGGGTGATGGAGAAGGAAAGAGGAGAGGTGGAGGGGTGTAGTGCCCTCCATGGCGCATAATAGTCAGCTGGTTTAGTGGGAAAGTGTTCAGTTTCGTGGATTGCGAGGGCTATGAGTGCGAGAGTGGGGTGGTAACGGCTATATTGGGAAGGGAAACAAATGGAATTCTTAGTGTTTTACAGATGACGCGTATCGTGGCAGACAAGCAAGAAGGATCAGAAACGGCACTGACGAATTTACAGTTGCGGTTTATTTCCTTGTACTTTTCTGCTCTGTTAAGCACTAACTCATACTTTTGGCACAAGTTTTTTTTTTTTTTTTTTTTCTGGGTCAATAATGTGATCAATCAGGGGTCTGTGGCTGGGGGAGTCTGCCCTCTGAGGTGTGGTGGTGGCTGGACTTTGTAACGGAAATTTGGCTTAGAAAGTGAGAAAATGATTGGTAGTGAGATTTGGTTTTGGCCCATTGAATTATATACTGCTAGTGTATTAATTTTGCGTTTGATTGTAGAGCATGGGACCCTGAATTATGGGATCCTGTCACCTAACTCGATATTAAAATGGATTAAAGGCTCAAAGGGAATGGAAGGGATAGACTTTGGAGTACGGGGCGTATCCCATGATTTTGCTTATTATCATGGCATCTACGAAAACAACACAACAAAATCATATTGTCTCCGACGTGTGTTTCGTCAATCATTTGATCCTAACCCCAAACCAAGAAAGATAATTTTCTTTATGAGTTTAGTCTCTTACGTGATGGAGAAGGGTTTAGAACAGCTACTGGGGCTAACTTGGATGTGCAAAACACTTGCTTGGGCCTCCTTGGAGCAAACCAATGTTGATTAATCAGAGCGGCGCAGCTGAGAAACTTGGCTCTGAGATGAGAGAGGCTTCTGAGAAAACAGAATTTTCAGTCCCCTGTTCAAGTTTCAGATGATGAACATCCATATTTCATAGCTATATATATATATATATATATATATATATATAGCTTTACGACTTCAAAAGAAAGCAGTGCATTAAAATATTGCTCCAACTTTATATCTTTCTAATGATCGGACCTGGAAATAAGGAGAAAATTATTCAGAAGTAGTCCCCAGATGTCATAACTTAACCAAGCAAACTGGGCAAAAAGGTTCCACAAGATATGACACACTTTTATTTATTGGTTAATATGATTCCATGCAAGGTAGACTAGTAGATAAGATAAACTACTCCTCCATTACAGCATTTTATTGATATCATCATCGGGTTGTCACTTCAATTTTGCCTATTCAGTAACCGGTGCACATGTGAACACTTGTTTAATTTCAATTATCACAAGCACAAAGTGAACGCTCCACTTATATGTGCATTATAAAACAAGGCATATCTGTTTTAAAGAATTACCTTTTGAGGGCAATAATTCCAATCACTATAGCAAATACTATGAATAAATTGGAATTATAAAGCATGTACAAATATGATGGTCTCAAGCTCCCAGGATACTTTAAGTTTACTTAAGACAAAAGGTCCAGAGTCTCAAACAGATAACTCAGCTTACATGGTTGACAGCAGTTGGAGCATACACTAAAAACATCCATTTCTCGGCTTGAATCACATTAAATGCATCTCAAGTCTCAAGCTGCAAATTCCGCAAGCATTTAAATAAAGAACATGAGATTCATGCTAAATTAGAAGAGATGGTGAATTGTGATCTTGAGATTACACTATCTTATACCACGGAACTTTAACAACAATGGTAATAAAAGAACTGACAAAAAATTCCAGGGGAAAATTTACCTGTGCTGTGCAGCAGTTGCTCGATTCTCTCCACAAAGCTGTGACCCAATTTATATACCGGTACTTGAGAGGCAACCATTCCTACTTGGTGAAGAATCAAATTAAATTCAGCATCAGTTAAAAATGCTTTGTTGTGAAGAATTTAAAGTGTAGAGCATGCATGGAGACTTCAACAGCTAACTTAAAAATCACTTTCCGATCTTCCAAAAACAGGATCACTCTCCAGAGTTAATTAGGTGTGTGCTCCAGGGAGGGCACAGGAGGGGAACCAAAATTGCAACAATGTCTCTTCAACATGAAAGTTCCTTCCAGGCCTAACAGTGCTGCAGTACACAGTATCTAAATCACTAGCAGTAAGGCTGTAGGTTTCCTGATAATAGGATAGCAGAATTGAAGCCAGTCATAGCAGAGCATGTTTCCATAAAAGATGTTTTTATACCTTTTCTTTGAGCACCAAAGGAAGAGCATGGAAAATTGAGGTCTACTTAAATAGGGATAAGATGGTAGTAATCTGCTACACCAACATGCACTAAATGGAAGACAAAGCATCTGCAAGCAGTGCAACAGTATCACCAATTTTGGTTAAAATATAAATCAATCATGATGTTGTTAAATTTCAAAGGAAACCAAGACAAGATGCTTATCTTCCTTCTGAGGGAGAGTTTACTTTACTCAACTGGGTTTTTCGTGTATTTACAACCAATACCCAGCTTTATAAGTAGGATAATTACGAAGCAACTGTCAGTCGGTTTGCTTCAGTCTTTTCAACTAAAACCTAGTCAGCCATAAAATCATTCACCAATAATCCTGACAAGAACAAACTCCATCTTTAAAATGATGGAAGCGATTTGTGTCTCTGACATATATTTCTCTCCCTTCAAAGCCAGATATAAATTTTATAACAGCATGACAATCACCACAGATTCTGAGATTTTTTATTATTTGGAGTGGAGAGCCAGGAGGAGTGCTCAGAAGCCCAAAGGCTACTGCCAACTTCTCACTGTGCCCACACAAGATCTGCTCCTTGTCCTGTTCATCCACATCTTGCAACACAAAGTCAGTATTTGGGAGGTAACCTGCTTTCTTCATCTCCATGCTCAATTTATATAGCTTCTCAATGATCTCAGTCATTTGTGGATGTGATTTGTCTCCTGCAAGAAGCATGTGCACTTGGTTCTTGATCTCAATCCAACTGCAACCAGGGTTCTTCCTCATGCCCCTACTCCTCATGACATCTCTCACGGCATCTACTTCATCCCACATGCCCTTAGACGCATATATATTGGAAAGAAGGATGTAATTTCCAGGATTGCTTGGTTCTAATTCGAAGAGGTTCTGTGCAGCAATCTCACCTAAACTAATGTTATTGTGAAGCCTACAAGAACTAAGCAAAGCTCCCCAAACACAGGCATCTGGTTCAAATGGCATTTGCTGGATCAAGGCATATGCTTCTTCTAGCTTTCCAGAACGACCCAGAAGGTTTACCATGCAGGAATAATGCTCCATTTTTGCTCTGACTCTATGGTCTCTAGACATACTATTGAAAAAATGCCAACCTTCTTCTGTTAGGCCACCCTGACTGCAAGCAGATAAAACACAACTAAAGCTGATAAAATCAGGCTTCTGCCCTCTCCTTTGCATCATATGAAAAATATCAATAGCTTCCTTAGCCTTACCATGCATTGCATATCCTCCCATAATTGCATTCCAACAGACTGAGTTTTTGTTCGGTATCCTATCAAAACAAAGTCGAGACAAATGGATTCTTCCACACTTAGCATACATATCAACTAATGCACTGCCAACATGAACATCATTGGCAATTCCTGTTCTAATTGCAAAGCCATGAGCCGCCTTACCATGTATCAATGCTGCAATGTTTCCACAAGCTGGCAGCAAGCAAGGCATGGTTACAGAGTTTGGCTTCAACCTTGCACTCTGCATCTCTCTGAAAGCCTCCAATGCCTCAATATCCTTCCCGTTCTGTGAGCATCCAGCAATTATTGATGTCCAGGATACAACATTCAATTCCCTCCCTTGCACTCTAAATCGCTCAAATGTCTTCAATGCTACATCAACAAGACCATTTCGAGACAGTCCAGTTATTAAAGCATTGAGAGCACCTGCATCCATAATCTCTTCATCCACCTCTTCAAACGCTTTCATCAACTCCCCTGCACATGCACATTTTCCAAACATATCCATAAGCGCACTAATAACAAACTTGCAATGCAAAAGACCTAGTTTGATCACATAACAAAGAACCTGAATCCCTATATTTAACCTCTCCAAATCGCCCACAGCAGAAAAAACGCTAGAAATTGTAATATCATCAGGCAAAAACCCTTCGGAATGCATTTCCTTAAACATGATAACCGCTTCATTGTATTGTCCACTTTGATTGAACCCAGTAATCATACCATTCCAAGACACTAAATTGGGTCCCACACCGAAACTTTGCATTCCATAAAAGATTTCCTTTGCCTCATTAACGCAACCCTTGCGAGCATAAGCGGAAAGCAAAGCACCGTAAGTAACCACATCCCGTTCCGGCAATCTCTCAAACACATTCTTTGCATCCTGGATCCGATCACCTTGTAAGTACAAATGCACCAAAGAAGCTTGAACAACTGAATCTGAATCAAACCCATATTTTACAACAATGCCATGAACTTCTTTTCCCAATTTGAAGGCCGATAATTTACCGCAAGCCTTGACAACATTCGGAAGCACGCGATTATCCGGCAAAATACCACGAGAGAGCATTCGAGAGAACACATTGAGCGATTGGGTAAAAAGATTATACTTGTTGAGGGCATAAATGAGAGCAGAAAAGGAAGATACCAAGGGCTCAGATATTGAGTGAAGGACAAGTTCTGCTTCCGCAAAGCAATGGCGATTAGCATATTGTGAGATGAGCTTTGTAGAAATAAGGGTATCTATACAAACTCCAGATTTTAGTACGTAAGCATGAGCCTGGCTGGTTTGAGATAAAGATGCCACGGCTGAGTTCAGGCAAGGAAGAATTGAACGGTTCAGAATTTCGGAAAAGGGCAGAGCTTGCCCTGTCATGGCTCGTTAGTCGTAACCGCCCTAATTTCGAACCGGAAGCCTCTTATCGGACACCGGGGGCAACCTTTCGCATCAGCAACCGTTGAATTCGCCACGTCAGCCTTACTAGACGTGGAGAGAGAAGGGCAACTTAATCCAAAAGGTACAAGCAAGATAAGCGCATCCTGGGTCAAGTTAACCTTCCTTGTCACTGCTCGTCAATCCGTGACAAGCTCAATCCAGGCCATCATCGGACCGACAGCGAAATAGTTGCCGTAGGCACAAGACACTAACCGGATTGGACTGTACGAGACGTAAAATGACTAGGCTGTGCGGAACGGAGCAAATTAACCGGTTTGACGCGTAAGCGCGCTTGTGAGCCATGCAAATGAGTTGTCTATTAGAATTGAACTTATTGTGTAATGCTATCAATTTAAGTAGTTAAATTAATTTAAGATTATAAGTTAATTATGCTCTATTAAAAATAAATCACTTAATATATTTATCTTTCTTTTTAGTTGTTATTTATTCTAATTGTACTTTAAGTAAAGATAGAGTTCTCTCAGGATTAAAAGAGGCTGTTTATAAATGCGCTTTTTGCTTTCATTTTAGATACAAAGCGGGTAAATCTATTTCATTTCTCGTATATCTTACACAGCCCGGAGACACAGAAAAAATGAGGACAGTGAAAGGAACGACCTTTTCATCATTATCATTAGTTGTGTTCTGCTTGTTTGCTTTTGTTATTGTGTGTCAACGGACGGTGAAAGCTCAGTCTTTGCCGCCGGCGAAGTACGATGGGTTCGTGTATACCAACCACCGAGTTGACTCGGACACGATCATGATCGAGGCGTTCTTCGACCCCGTCTGCTCCGATAGCAGAGACGCATGGCCCCCTCTCAAGCAAGCTATTCAACACTACGGTCCTCGCGTTATGCTTACGATTCACCTTCTCCCTTTGCCGTCAGTCCCTCTCTCTTTCTAATATATATATGTTTTTGATTGGATTCTCCTTTTACTTTGTTTTCTCTTTTTTTTTCTGAGAAATTTAAGAAAGAATAAAAATTGATTCTTGGATTTGAAACAGAACCTGATCAAGTTACCTAGTGGCTGTTACTAGTTTTTAGCTTAAAATGATCATTCCGGGTTTTCTTTATTGTTCTTTGTGCTTGAACATCCAGCTGAAGAAGAAAAATTGGGATGAACACTTCTAGTTTCTGATTTAACTCTTGAACTTTGAACATCCTGGCTTTTTGTTTGAGTTGTTATTCTGGAAAAAGTTCTGGCTTTAACAAATGGGGTTTTGAATTTAACATTCCCCATGCAAAACCTCTTGCTTATTCAGTTGTTTTTTAGTTTAGTGTGAAACCTGCTGAAATATCATTCCTTTATGACAACCTTGATCAGAAATTCAGAATTTTGAATTGATGACTTTTTCTTTTAACTCTTAAATGATGGTGAGTTGTTTAAAATTGGAAATTTCAGTTACCATGACTATGCGTTCGCTACTTCCCGTGCCTTGCACATTGTAAACCTGCTCAATCCTTCTGCTACTTTCAGACTGTTGGAGAGCTTCTTCAAGCATCAGGTTCTGATTTTCCATTTTCTAGCTTTAAATTATCTCTTTTTAACAGGCTAAATTTACTTTAGTAAAGAAATGGAAAATAGCTGTATTTGTTGGATTATGCATTACACTACTTCTGTTTCATCGCCAATGCTACTTGTTTGGTTGTTGGTCGACAGTATGTTCACATCATTTTGGTCTTGATTGTAATATTTAGATATATATCTTAATGTTTGGTCTACATGACAAAATGTTTTCTTAGTAGTTTTAAAGCTGTTTCTAGTGGTTTGTTAATTTCAAGGTCAACTGAATTTTAGCAATTGGAGGAAACCGCTAATAGTTGTGCTAGTTTCTCTTCATATTTAATGAGTGCCTTTAAGTTAAGTCTTCCGTCATTCAGATTCTCATCTTTGGATCCTTAGCTTTACATTCTGCATTGTAAGACCTGTTGGATGGCTCTAAGGTTCTTGCTCAAGTCAATCTTGATCACCATGTTAAAGCCATAAAGATAGATTTATAAACAGTTGTGTGGCTACTGAGTGAACATTTGCATTGTTGTTCAAATGGAAATGCAAAATTGTTTAATGTTTAGTAGGATTGCACCCATATGACTATCAATTAGCCGCATTTATTTGCCTCTTTTATTACATGTATATAGATTGGGCACTGAACTTGTTGGGTATTATTAAACAGGAGAGGTTTTTGACTGACCAAACACTCAACATGTCGAAAGTTGCTGTTGTGAATGACATCGTAAAGTTTACAGCAGAATCAGTTGGGAACTCCTATTATTCTGCAATTAAATCAGGTTTCAATGACAGCAAAACTGATCTTAAAACAAGAGTTTCTTTCAAGGTAAATCGCTCCCCCCCCCACACACAAAGAAAAAGTTCTTCCTGTTTTCTGTAGATGAAAAGTTAATGGTGGTAGTAACAACATGCATACCATGACAATATAAATTTTTTTGTGCCCGATGCATTATTTTAGGTGATGTCATTTCGTTTGTGATCAATCTCTATTATTTCCATGGACTATCATGCATGCAGTTTCATCATTGCTTCTAGTCTCTCTCTCTGCTAAGCTTTGCTCATGCCATTAACGCTGTTATATCTTCTGACTTGCAGTATAGTACCTCAAGAGGAGTGTTTGGGACACCTACTTTCTACATCAACGGATTTGCATTGCCTGATCCTGGCTCCGCAATAGACTATAAGAAATGGAGAAGCGTCATTGATCCATTGCTTGTTGCGCAGGGCAGAAAGAGTGGCAATTCTCCGCACTTATCTTAATGAAGGATTCAGCAATATATCAGGACATATTCTTCAACTTGTATTTGCTTGGCTTAGATTGGTTTTTATTATCACATTATTGGCATTGATTTGGGAGTTTCATAAGTAGATTTTCTACTAAATAAATGGCTAATGATGTAGAAAATACGTAAGGAAAGTAAATTATGTGCATCAATCTTCTTTTCTTTTTGTTTTTTTAGTTATTCAAAACCTGACCATGGGCACATGGGGTAGAGCAGAGTTTAGGGTCTGTTTACCTTGTCAACTTGAGAGCTGGGACTGCTTAGAACATTGGGCTTCTCCTTTATCCAATTGTAACTTGAAATACTACTACGATGATACAATTTTTTGTGTGAAAAAGGATTAATTTTGATGGGAAAATTATAGTGAGTTTTTTTAATTAATTAATTAATAATAATACTACAAAATAAAAAAAGAAAAAGTGAGCTTGAACAACTGAATCTGAATCAAACCCATATTTTTCAACAATTTTTCCCAATTTGAAGGCCGATAATGTACCGCAAGCCTTGACAACATTCGGAAGCACGCGATTATCCGGAAAAATACAGAACATTGAGCGTTTGGGTAAAAAGATTGGACTTGTTGAGGCGATAAATGAGAGCAGGAAAGGAAGACACCAATGGCTCAGATATTGAGTTAAAGGACAAGTTCTGCTTCCGCAAAGCAATGGCGATTAGCATACTGTGAGATGAGCTTTGTAGAAACAAGGGTATCGTTACAAACTCCAGATTTTATAATGTAAGCATGAGCCTGGCGGGTTTGTGATAAAGAGGCCGTGGCTGAGTTCAGGCAAGGAAGAATTGAACTGTTCAGAATTTCGAAAAAGGACAGATCTTGCCCTGTCATGGCTCCTTTAGTCGTAACCGCACTGATTTTTAACCGGAAGCGGCTTTATAGGACACCGCGGGCAACCTTTCGCATCAGCCACCGTTGATTTGGCCACGTCAGCCATACTGGAAGTGGAGAGAAGGGCAACTTAATCCAAAAGGTACAAGTAACGTAGGCGCATTCTAAGTAAAGCTAGCCTGCGTAGTTCTGCTCAAAGAATAGAGAGATAAGATAAATCAGCTAAACGCCTCTCGAAACAAAAGACACAGAAAAAATGAGGACAGGGAAAGGAGCAACTTTTTCATCATTATCATCAGTTGCGATCTGCTACTGCTTGTTTGCTTTTGTTAATGTTTCTCAACGGACGGTGCAAGCTCAGTCTTTGCCGCCGGCGAAATACGATGGGTTCGTGTATACCAACCACCAAGTTGACTCGGACACGATCTTGATCGAGGCGTTCTTCGACCCGGTCTGCCCCGACAGCAGAGACTCATGGCCCCCTCTCAAGCAAGCTATTCAACACTACGGTTCTCGCGTTATGCTCACGATTCACCTTCTCCCATTACCGTCTGTCGCTCTCTCTTTCTAATATATTGTTTTTTATTTGATTCTCCTTTACTCTGAATTTCTTTTTTTTTTCCTGAGAAATTTAAGAAAGAATAAAAATTGAATTTTGGATTTGAAACAGAACCCGTTCAAGCTACCTAGTGGCTGTTACTAGCTTTAGCTTAAAATGTTTATTCTGGGTTTTGTTTATTGTTCTTCGTGCTTGAACATCCAGCTGAAGAAAAATTGGGATGAACACTTCTTGAACTTTGAACACGCTGGGTTTTTGTTTGAGTTGTTATTCTGGAAAAAGTTCTGGCTTTAACAAATGGGATTTTGAATTTAACGTTCCCCATTCAAAACCTCTTGCTGGTTGAGTTGTTTTTTAAGTGTAGTGTGAAACCTGCTGAAATATCATTCCTTTATGACAACCTTGATCAGAAGTTTAGAATTTAGAATTGATGATTTTTTTCTTTAACTCTTAAATGATGGTGAGTTTTGAGAGGTTTCAAATTGGAAATTGCAGTTACCATGACTATGCCTTTGCCACTTCCCGTGCCTTGCACATTGTAAACCTGCTTAATCCTTCTGCTACTTTCAGACTGTTGGAGAGCTTCTTCGAGCATCAGGTTCTGATTTTCCAATTTGTAGCTTTAAATTATCTTTTTCTAACAGGCTAAATTTACTTTAGTAAAGAAATGGAAAATAGCTGTATTTGTAAGACTATGCATTACACTACTTCTGTTTGACCCCCTCTGCTACTTGTTTGGTTGTCGTTGACTGTATGTTCACTTCATTTTAGTCTTGATTTTAATTTTTATATATATCTCTTAATATTTGATCTTCATGAGAACATGTTTTCTTAGTAGTTTTAAAGCTATTTCTAGTGGGTTTGTTAATTTCAAAGTGCATTGAATTTTAGCAAATGTGGGTAAACTGATACTACATGTGCTAGTTTCTCTTCATATTTATTAAGTGCCTTTGAGTTAAGGCTTCTATCTGCTTTTCTTCTGAAGCATTTAATATCATTTAGATTATCATCTTTGTGTCTTTAGCTTTACGGTCTGCAGTGTAAGACCTATCTGATGGCTCTGAGGGTCATAGTTCTTGCTCTAGTTGATTTTGGTCCCATGTTAAAGCCTTTAAGGTAGATTTAAGAAGCAGTTATGTGGCTGATGAGTGAACATTTGCATTGTTGTTAGGTTTAAGGTTTAGTAACATTGCTCCCATATGATTATCAATTAGCCTCATTTATTTGCCCGTTTTATTATATGTATATTGATTTTGCCTACAGTATTGTGCACTGAACTTGTTGGATATTACTAAACAGGAGAGGTTTTACAATGACCAAACACGCAACATGTCGAGAGTTGCTGTCGTGAATGAAATCATAAAGTTTACAGCAGAATCAGTTGGGAACTCCTATTATTCTGCAATTGAAGCAGGTTTCAGTGACAGGAAAACTGATCTTAAAACAAGAGTTTCTTTCAAGGTATATCACTTGCTCCCCCACAAGAAAAAAGTTATTCCTTTCTTGTTATCCTGTTATCTATAGATGAAAAGTTAATGGTGGTAGTGCAATTAACTGTGTACTATGACAGTATAAATTTTTTTGTGCCCAATGCATTATTTTAGGTGGTGTCGTTTGTGATCAATCTCTATTATTTCCATGGACTATCATACATGCAGTTTCATCATTGCTTCTAGTCTCTCTCTCTGCTAAGCTTTGTACATGCCATTAACACTGTTATATCTTCTGACATGCAGTATAGTACCTCAAGAGGAGTGTTTGGGACACCCACTTTCTACATCAACGGATTTGCATTGCCTGATCCTGGCTCCACAAGAGACTATAAGGGATGGAGAAGCATCATTGATCCATTGCTTGTTGCACAGGGCAGAAAGAGTGAAAATTCTCCGCACTTATTTTTATGAAGAAGTCAGCAACATATCAGGACACATTCTTCAAGTGGTATTTGCTTGATGTATGATAGTGAATGAACACTGTTCCAGTAATGTTGGATGTTCTGTAGTTCAAGTAGCTGCCAAAGACATAGGATACACTAAATAAATGGTTTTTATTATCGCATTTTTGGCAGTGATTTGGGAGTTTCACAAGTAGATTTTGTACTAAAATAATGGCTAATGATGTATATAATTCATAATGAAAGTAGACTGTGTGTCAATCTTTCTTCTTTTTTGGGTTATTCAAAACCTGACCATGGGCATGGAGTAAAGGTGGAGCAGAGTTTAGGATCTCTTTACCTTGCCAACTTGAGAGCTTGGCCTGATTAGAACATTGGGCCTAATAAGATTGTTATTCAATTTCCTCTAACTCTTTCATGATGGTACACTTTTTTGTGTGAAAAAGGATTCATTTAGATTGGAAAATTATAGTGAGTTTTTTTAATTAATTAATTAATTAATTAATATAATAATACAAAATAAAAAGGAAAAACGAAAGAGTGTACAAATGCAGTAGAAGGATTAACAAAATGGTTATTACTATGCAGAGTCCGGAGGACAAGTTAACATATTCTTTATGTTCGTAATTATATGATTTTCTTTTATTTTTATGAAAATTAAAATTAAAATATTTGATTTTGATGTTATTTTACATTAAAATTTGAAAACTTTTTATAATATAAATGTTCAATACTTTTTAATATAAAAAAATTATAATATAGATAAAAGAATTAAATGTCCAGTAAAGAAAAATAAACTTCACTTTGAGACGAAATAAATAAATAGAGAAATTGAGATGAGGGAAATATTATCTTTTGGTATTCTTCGATTCTTATATGTATGAATAAGTAAGGGTATTGATAGATCAAATTAGTTAAATTTTAAGAGATTGTGATAAAATTAATTTAAAATTTATTAAGAATATACATTTTTAACAAAATATACTCAAGATTTAGGAAAAAAATTGTACCTTTCATTTGAATTGAGTTAGGACAAATAAAAGGAAATTTCACAAAAAAAAAATGTTGGAAGTTGGAATCGTAAATAAACTAAAAAAAAAGGGGGTTCAAGGGAAGAGAACCGGGTGAACCGGATAAAAGGAGTCGGTTAGGGCAGTTTTAGAGGCGTGACAGCGTCAGCGTGGGGATATAAAGGAGCGAGGGACATCTCGCGAGAGCGGCTTTAGGGCGTAAAAGAAAAATAAGCCGTAGAAGAGGGCTGTCTCTTGGTGGAGCTTACCCCCCTTTTTCTATCTGTACTACTCCTTACTCCATAAGTCACAAAAGGTATCTCTCTCAGATCTAAACCCCAAACCCCACCTCCCTTTTCCTTTACTTCTGTTTCTTCACTTCCTCCAACCCCGCCCCCTTTTTTTTATTTTTTATTTTTACTCTTTTTTTTTTTGGTATTTTTAATTTTTAATTGTTTGGTTTTTTTTTTTTTGCGGTTTGGGGTACGTTTGAACTTTTGAAATATTGATTTTTGGCGGAGAATAGATGGATCGTTACCAGAGAGTGGAGAAGCCGAAAGCAGAGGCACCCATTGACGAGAATGAGATTCGGATTACCAGTCAAGGCAGGATGCGTAGTTATATCACTTATGCCATGACTCTGCTCCAGGTTTCTTTTCTTTTCTTTTTTGTTTGTTCAATTTCTGCATATTTAGAACTTTATTTGTGTTGGGTGTTTGATTATTTTGAGAAATATTTACCAGAAAGGTTATTTCTTAAGTGTTTGTAATGGCCCTTAATTTGAATAGTTAAGCATTGTCGTGTAACTCTTTTTTTTTTCTCATCTAATGTTTCTTTTCTTAGGAAAAGGGCTCGAATGAAATAGTGTTTAAGGCAATGGGAAGAGCCATCAACAAGACTGTTACTATAGTGGAGTTAATTAAGGTATTCTTTTCCCTGTTTGCACTTGCCTTCGTGAATGGATTTTATCTTTTGGTTCGTGTTTAGGGAGGCTGAATTTGTGCTCCATGTGCTTCAAATGAATGCAGAGGAGAATTGTTGGTCTACATCAGATTACGTCGATTGGGTCCACGGACATAACAGATATGTGGGAGCCTTTGGAGGAAGGACTTCTTCCGTAAGAGCTATTTGACCTTATCATGATAAACATTTGTTGTTTCTCTGACCTTTAATCTGTTTATCTAGAGAATTTTAGTAACATATGTTTAATTATACCAGATTGGAGACCACAAGGCATGTGTCAATGATCACTATAACCCTTTCAATAAAAGAACTGAATACTTCCTCTGTTGGGTAAGTTCTTACACTTGAAGTGTGCACTGATGAATTATGTTGTGTCCCATTGTACTTTACTTTGCGTGGTTCCTTCAATTTTAGTGAATTTTGAATTATTAAATAAGGTCAACAGAGCCTTTTTTGTTCATATGAAACAAGTTGGTTTTATCTTCATTTCTTGTTTAATTAAATTTTTGTAAATGTTGGAAGCTAGAAATTTTTAGCTTATGGAAGGTTTTATCCTCTATGACAGTGGTGGCTTGATGTTGTGGGGCTTGTTGTTTTAGTTGACATGAATTTCCAGAGATGTTTGTGACTCATTAATTGCATACTTATCCAGGTATCAGCCTCCATTACCAGCTGATCAGGTGAAGCCATCCGCAGAAATTGATCATGAAGGAGGTAAGGACACATTTCGTTATTTGCACTGTTTTTCTGTGATACCCATATTTCTTTTTATAGAATTCTTTTTGTTTGGCAGAGGGCTCACCTAATGGTCGTGGTAGAGGCCGTGGTGGTAGAGGAAGGCCAAGGAGTAGAGGTATGTTAATTTGAATACTGAGATGCACCCTATTAGAGTTTGTTTTTGTTTTGCTAGGGGCATTGGTTACTGTGGCTCTGAATGATTGAATGTCATAGAACGATATATGAGTTGTATTTTAAGCAATATTTAGTTGCATTTTTCTTCAGGGAATGGTTTTGTCTCTGCGGAGTATGAGGATGGAGGCTGGGACCGCAATCGTGGCTATGCTAGGGGTAGAGGTCGAGGAAGAGGACGTGGTTTCCGAGGCCGTGGGCGTGGAGGATACAATGGACCTCAGGTTGATAGGCAGCAAGATGTAGGCTACAATTATGAAGCCCCTCCTCAAGGTGGCCGTGGTGGGTTTTCCTCCTTATTTCATTTTTGTTTAAAAGAAATATTTAGTACGCTTACTAGTTTACCTCATAGTTTGTGGTAGGTATCTGTCCATAATCGCCAAGAATGTTGGCCTTATTTTTTCTCAACATGTTGCAATTTGAACCATTCTGAGCATGAACAAAACAAAATGCACTTGGAGTACATATATAATGGTGCAGCATAAATAAAAGTTAATTAGGAGAGTGCAACCATAACCTTGGTGTGACATGTGACATGCTACATGCTATGTGAGGAAGTTTGCTATCATTCGTCATGTGAATTGCCTTCAGAAGAAAAGCGGAGAGAGTTTTGTTGATTTTCTTGTACAGGTGAATAGGGAAGAATACCATTTTCTAATGGTCTTGTCTCTGTCTGTTTACTTCTTGAAGGTCGCGGCCGCGGCAGGGGATATCGTGGAAGGGGCCGTGGGTTTAGATCTAATGGGCTGATCCAGGCAGCTGCATGAGCCGGTAGCAGTCTTTAAAACGTTATGGAAATGATGGCGTCGGATGCGTGTCCAGTTATATGTTTTTGATTTTTTATGTTGTCCTTAATATTTTTTTCCCCTTTGAGGCTTTCCATCATTACTACCAGTTTAGCATTTAGGATGTGTTCAAATTTTTTCTTCCTTGTTCATTACTTGCAGTTTTAACTTTAGGACGTGTTGATGGACAGTCATGGTAGAACTAGCATACTTGCAATATGTGCTTTTAGTGCAGCTGCCTCACAGCACAGGAGGCAGACACCCTTTTTTGCTTTGGTTTTTTCAGTAGACAAGGCTGATATGTTTGAAGAATTGTAACTTATAATTGTCAGGAAATTTTTCTTCATTATTTGGCTAATTTTTGGGTGTTCTACTCTGTTTTTGTTCTTTTTGGATACTTGGCCAGATAAGGAAGCTTTTATCCTCATTAAAATCCATGCTGGAAACCAAAACGCAATGATACAAATTAACAGCCTGTATTCGTTTAGTTTCAACAGCCATTTTCAATTGTTTTGAGCAATGGTGAGCAATTTTCGATTAAAATCGAATCAATGATTGAATTAGCAAAAAAAAAAAAGAATTAAAATTGTTTATTCCATTGGGTTGTTATTAATGCAGAAATAAGTATGATTAAATTATTTAAGTTAGTTAATTTGGTCCGTATATAAACATTTTTGGTTCTGAATTTGTTTTCTCAATTAATTGAATTAATGGATTTGTATATAAGTTATTTATAAATTATAACATATAGTAAATATATTATGAAATAATGATATACATATATTGTTTATATAAATATATAAATTTCGATTAATTTGATTATTAATTGAATTAAAATATTTAATTTGATTTATTTATCGATTACGGGAACTTTGTCTGAATTAATTTTAATTAAAGAATAAAAAAAGATTACTATATGTAGCGAATTTTCATTCGTTAATAGAAAAGTTCTTGGCTTGACGAGAAAGAAAAGTGTCTAAAAAGGGTTGGGGGCACTGATAGTCTGCTACCGCTACCAAAATCAAAGAATTTACAGCAAGTACCGAACCCTAGAGCTCGAGCTCCTCCATCCAGATTTGTAAGCAGCGTTTTCGTTTCTAATCTTTTTTTTTTGTTTTTCTATTCTCGGTCGTCGCTGGCCTCGTAATTCCCTCCCTTTTTTCTTTCTTCGCATAATTTCATTGCGATCCTCGACAGAGCTTTTGGCAGAGATGACTCAAGATGTGGAGATGAAAGATCACCAAACTCCTCCTCATTCCGTTACCTCTGCCGTTCCCTCCACTTTGCACCGTAACCATCAATTTCTAGGGTTTATTTTCTCTTTTCTTACTTTGTTGTTGTTGTTATTATTATTATTTTTTAGTTTGTAATTTGTGTTTGTAGATTTGAAGGAGATTGCTTCACTTATTGAGACTGGTTCCTACACTAAGGAGGTTCGCCGTATAGTCCGTGCCGTTCGCCTCACGTTCGGGCTGAGGCGGAAGCTCACGGCGCCTGTGCTCTCTGCATTTCTCGATTTTGCGCTGCAGCCTGGTTCCGAGGCTCTTGCTAGATTGTCTTCGTTTCTTCCTAAGGTACATTTCTCATCTTTTTCACTCTCTTCTCAAAGGTTATATCAACCTTTGGCCTGGGCTTTTGGTAGATAATTCAGGATCACATAATTGTAGATCTGTAATCAATGAGTTTTCTTTATTTGGTGTTTTAGTTAAAATAATGAGCTCATTGGAAGGCTATCTAATTAAAATTATTCAAATACTTATGCTGTAATTGTTTAGCTACTGTGGATTGGGCTTATACACTCTATGATGTTTTACTATCAATATCCATGTGGCAATAGAGAAAGTGGCACTTCCTAAAACAGGTTAACTAGGCTGTAAAACTTTGGTTGTGTATTGAACAATGATTCTATGGGGTTTGGCCTTTCAGATGACAATATCTGTATGTAGACTTAGGATTGCTGTGTATTTTGGGACTTTGCATCAAGTTTTGAACGTTTCAATTAAAAATTGGGCAGTAGCATGTTTTAATGATGGTAATGAACTTTGAATGTTATATTGTGGCATGTTAGCGGTGCCCTTGCACAAGCGATTTTATGTTCTTCAATTTCAGCTCGGTAGTCTCTGTTGTTAATATTCCATCTGAGATAAATATGATTGTAGGAAGATGAGCATGAAATGGAAGTCGATACTGCAACATCTGCTGTTCAGACTCCAGCAAAACACTTGTTGCCGGAGCTCGAGATTTACTGCTATTTGCTTGTACTCCTTTTTCTTATTGATCAGAAGAAATACAATGAGGTCAGATTTGTTTTTATGAATTTCTATTATCTTTTGCCTTTATGAGCCAAATCTACTTGGTTAAACCGCAGAGGTTCTTTTGCTTTGTTTTCTTTCAGGCTAAAGCTTGTTCCTCAGCAAGTGTTAATCGGCTCAAGAGCCTAAACAGAAGAACTCTTGATGTCCTAGCGTCAAGGCTTTACTTCTATTACTCATATAGCTATGAGCTCACTGGCGATCTGGCTGAAATTCGTGGGTAAGCTATTCATATCCAGCTGTCTCCTATGTGGTCTCTTCTCTGGATATGTGCTTACATGTGTGAAAATATAAGTCATCAATGTTAAAATGCAACTCTCAGAAGAGCAGACCAAGCTGAATGAGAGTCTAATTTATCTTGACTATATTGTGTACTCTTACTTGCAGCAACCTCCTTGCCTTGCATCGTATTGCTACACTACGCCATGATGAGCTTGGGCAGGTTTGTTACCAATCAACTTAGAGGTTATTTCATCATAAGAGAGAAATTGGAGCTAACATGCAATATACTGCCATAATGCAGGAAACACTTCTAAACTTGTTGTTGCGTAATTACCTCCATTATAACCTCTATGATCAGGCGGAGAAGCTGAGGTCTAAGGCACCACGATTTGAAGCACACTCAAACCAGCAGGTAAGCGAGTTATTTGTTTCACTTTTGAATACCTATATAATTGGGGGGGAAGTGGGGAAAAAAAAAAGAGAACTTATCTTTTGGATTGGGATTTTTGTGTTCCTTTATTGTTTGTTTAACTGATCCACCAGGTTAGATCTTGCAGTAGTCTTATGTTTATTATTGGCCCTATGGATCTCATCTCCTTTATTTTTTTACCTATTTGCCTTTCTCATCTGTTAATAATCTCTTGCTTGAAAATCAGCATAGTTTATCTATAGTGTTTATTTTGATAACTGAGTTAAGTTTTGAACTTGCCCATGTTGTGGTTAATATTGTTAGCTATCTCCAAGCCTTCACTACTTGTCTACTGCTGTTCACATGAGGAGCTCAAATCAGCACATTTGACCATGTTTGATGATAAATCTTTTATTCTGTAGTTTTGTCGATATCTCTTCTACCTAGGGAAGATTCGAACAATTCAGTTGGAGTATACTGATGCAAAAGAGAGTCTGCTACAGGCTGCTCGTAAAGCCCCTGTTGCAGCTCGGGGCTTCAGAATTCAGTGTAACAAGTGGGCTATATTAGTCCGTCTGCTGTTGGGTGAAATACCTGAGAGGACAATCTTTATGCAGAAAGGAATGGAGAAGGCTTTGAGGCCTTACTTTGAGCTGACAAATGTAAGTCTGATTTGTTGACAATGAATATATATCTGAGAAGAACCAAATTGTACAGTAAATTGTTTTCTTTAAATCTTGATTACATCTGCTGGAATGGGCATTGGTGCTTTCTATCTTACTTCTGATTTCCAAAGAAAAACATGATTTCTTGGCTTCAATTTTCAGGCTGTACGGATTGGTGACTTGGAGCTCTTTAGGACTGTTGCAGAGAAGTTTGCTAGCACTTTCAGTACTGACAAGACACACAATCTCATAGTCCGGCTGCGACATAATGTCATTAGGACTGGATTACGCAACATCAGTATCTCTTATTCACGCATTTCACTGGCTGATGTTGCTGAAAAATTAAGGTTGAACTCCAAAACTCCAGTTGCAGACGCTGAAAGCATTGTAGCTAAGGCTATCCGTGATGGTGCAATAGATGCTACATTAGACCATGCAAATAGTTGGATGATATCAAAAGAGACTGGTGATATATATTCTACCAATGAGCCTCAAATAGCCTTCCACTCAAGGATTGCTTTCTGCCTTAACATGCACAATGAAGCAGTTCGAGCCTTACGATTTCCACCTAACACACACAAGGAGAAGGAAAGTGCAGAAAAAAGGAGAGAGCGGCAACAGCAAGAACAGGAACTAGCAAAGCATATTGCGGAGGAGGATGATGATGATTTTTAAGGAATTTTTTTTCCTTTTGTGATTTTGAGCTGAAATATGCTTCTCAACTTCCGTTAATGTCTCTCATTTGAAAGGCTAGTTCATACTTTCCAATTTTATGAATAGTAACCATTTTTACTTGGACGAATTCACCAGTGTTGTTATCAATACAAAATTTTAATGTCTGATCTGGTGCTGGGCAGTAGGTCGATTGTCCCAAAGAATAATTCGGCTCGGTCTTTGTTGGTTTGGTATTACTTTCTCATAAGAAGTTGCTACAAGGATTCAATAGCATTCCCTTTTCCATGCAAGGTGTTTGATGGCGAATGCCATCATGCGGCCGAGACTTTCTTAGTGAAAGAATTAGCGTCAAGAGTTTTTGTCTATCAAGTCGGTATAGCAGGATTGTTTACTAATATTTTCCTGCTTAGGTTTGCTGGTTTCCTTGTTGCTGCTGTCAGCTTGAGTATGGGTTCATTAAACGCTAGACGGTAATGCCAAGATGTACCAAAAATGGTACCTGACCACCCTACCATTCACAGCAAGGTTTTACCCCTTTTCTAAGCTGTCATGTGCTTGATATAAATGCAATCATTCAGGGCCCCTGCATTCTTTTTTGGGTACTCTGGTCATGATCATCTGCTTTGAATGCGGACATAGTCTTACAAGCCTTGTTATGATTGCCAATACAAGTAGAATATTTGCTGTCAAACCAGCATATGGGATTAAAATGAAGTCTCAGCATATTCACTCTGAGCCTCTATACCCTTTGCGTGACGTTGCTGTCATCACATGTGCCTGTGCTGGTTTCTGTTTGCTGTTGAAATTAGGTGCTTCAACTTGTCCCTTGTTAAATATTTTGCCTGCTTAATGGTTAACCGATGAAAAATATAACTGTTGAGAATAACATTTGAAAGTCCAGTTCCCTAGTCTTGTGGGCACCATTCACTATGTCAGAGGTTAATTTGGGTTACGATTATTCGACCATGTGCTTCATGGTTGAGTGATGGAGAGGCGTTCGTTTTGAGAACCAAACTCCCTGTATCAGGGGAGGTCAGAAACAGGAGCTAGAACTAGAGAAAAACAACTCATCCCCATCTAATGTCAAAAAAGAATCATGTGCAAAGACTCGAAAAGAATTAATAATGCCATTGTTTCATATGGGTCAAAAGAATGGCCATGTGAACCTGTGTATGTGCTTTGATCTAATGGAAATATTCAATCACAAACAAAAACGGGTGGCGGTGTCGTTTCCATCTTGAAATGGCAATAACCATCAAAATAAAATGAAATCCATAAAACAACAATTGGGCTTATGGTTTTTGATCCACTCACGGCTCTCCGGTTGGGAGAGAGCATGTGGGTGTGGAAGAAGGGGAGTGAGAGAGAACGTGGGAATAATTGAATGAAGGCTCAGAAATCGTGAGTCTTTGCAGGGATAATTCAATTTTTAAATGCTTAAAATAAATCCGTTTTCCTCTCTTCTCTACTTGCAGGGATCACATGCGAGGTTGTTGCATAGCGAGAGTTTGGTCTCTTATTTAAAGAGCCAATTCTTCCTGCTTGGAAATGCCAATAAATGTAAATACCACATTAATTCTCAGTACTGCTCCTTATCCTGATCTTCCTCCTCTTTCTTCTCCACCATTTGTTGTCTTTTAAGCTACCGAGAAATGTCAAAAATCATTTTTGCATCAGCAATCTTGCTTGGACTCTGCTATCTTGCTACCAGCGTGAATGCCTTCTCGGCCTCTGGGTGGACTAAAGCTCATGCCACATTCTATGGAGGCAGCGATGCCTCAGGAACTATGGGTTAGTAACCACTCCCTTTTTCTTTTTGTTTATCTTTTTGTTTTGGATAAATGAAGTTTTATTCATCCGAAGAAGAAGGAAGAGACTGAGAGCCTGCAAGAAGCAGGAAACAAGTACATTTCTTCTCTAATTTTAGTCATCATTTGATATTGAATGATTTATTGACAATAGGGGGAGCTTGTGGATATGGAAACTTGTATGGTACTGGCTATGGAACAAGGACTGCTGCTTTAAGTACTGCCTTGTTCAATGATGGAGCTTCATGTGGACAGTGCTACAAGATCATGTGTGATTATCAAACAGACCCCAGATGGTGCATAAAAGGAGCATCTGTGACCATTACTGCTACAAACTTTTGCCCTCCCAACGTTGCTCTTCCAAACAATGCCGGGGGCTGGTGCAACCCTCCTCTCCAGCATTTTGATATGGCTCAGCCTGCCTGGGAAAAGATCGGCATATACAGAGGCGGAATTGTGCCTGTTATCTTCCAAAGGTAGCATCTCTATCTCATTCTCTTCCCTCTTTTTAACGTTTAAAATCTTATCTTGTTATGTCTAACGTTTCGGTGTTCTTACGATACAGGGTTCCATGCAAGAAGCATGGTGGAGTAAGGTTCACCATCAACGGTAGAGACTACTTTGAGCTTGTATTGATCAGCAATGTGGGAGGTGCAGGATCAATCCAATCTGTATCCATCAAAGGCTCTAAAACTGGGTGGATGGCAATGTCAAGGAACTGGGGAGCTAACTGGCAATCCAATGCCTATCTTAATGGCCAATCTTTGTCGTTCAAGGTCACCACCTCTGATGGAGTGACTCGACTATTCCCTGACGTTGTGACAGCAAATTGGGTTTTCGGCCAGAGTTTCTCTAGCAATCTTCAATTCTAAATTACTAAAAGCTTTGGAGTTCAGGATTCTGGGTTTTTAGTTTCCGGCAGAGGCGTGCTTATATTTTACAGAAAAAGCTGCCCGCCATACCCTTGGGATATACCAGATGAGATGGTTAAACTCACACGGCTACTTTTCTCTTCTCTGGGTGTTGGTTCACATGGAAGTGAATCCTTGAACTCAAAGCTGCTACATTACTTTCTGTGCTTTCGATACAAGAAATTCGGACGATGTTTGGAATTATTCTAAGATCATACCAATAAGAAGCGCAACAAAAGAAAAAACTTGCAGCTTCAGCATATGTAAATTTTGTTTTCACAAATTTATCTGTTTGTAATAGGAGTTGTTGCTTGATCGTTCTACCCATTTTTCATTCCAATTGAATAAAGCAACCGACAAACCTTTTGTCACTTACCCCAACAGGTTAAATTCTGTCCTGTCTCGATTGGAATCTCTCTTGTTTGGATGTAGACTATAGCAGGAGAGGATACTAACTCACCGCCTTTGCCTTTTTTAAGGGGCATAAAGAAACGAACTTGAAAAGACAGACAGAGACGGCTTTTGGCGTCATTAACCTGCCATGAAATTTCCCCAAAATAAATTTTTTTTGATCCACTGAATCTTTTTCCTAGATGATCAGGGGTCTATGTAACTGTGATTTCCAAAGCACTGCTGATTCCATTAATATATTTTCCATGTTGTCTTCTCAAGTGCAAAAGGCCCTGAGCTTTCAGAGTTTATATCAGAATTCCTCAGTCCCAAATCCCAAATACATATATTCTGCAAAAGGGCATGAGCCAGGCCGGATTCTGAAGCCTCAGGCCCAACTCTTCTTTCAGTTTTCTTTCATGGGTTCCATGGAGTTTTGAGAGTCTGAACAGATGCAATGTCAAATGTCAGTCATCAATGTTTCTGGACGTTCTCAATGAAAGATAATCTGGACAGTTCTGTTATTTGCTAGGCTGTTGACAATGACATTTAAACAGTCAGTTGAAGCCTGCAGAGTCTAGCCTCTTTTGATTCTTGATCAAGGTTGCTTTCAAACAAAGGATTCCATTATCTGTTCAACCCCGTCTACCACACATATCCCTTTTCTGAGCTCTGTAGGGTCGATGTTCTGCTTAAGTCCTAATCAGGGGTCGGCAAAAGAAATTATCAGCTCTGGTAGCTCTTCCAGCCCTTTCTCCCGTGTCTCTTGGCATGGTACTAGGCTCGTTTTACTCTGAAATGGGTTCTGTTATCATGCTTTACTTTCTCATTATTTTAGATTTTACTCTGCCATTGGTGCAGTGATTCTTCACCGGTTTGACTATGTAGGGTATGACAACGTAATGATCTGCTTAAATTTTATGAAAAAAAAATGATGGTTTCATCACTATGGAGGTCAACATGAAAAACTCAACAAAAAGTTTCACGTTGATTCTTTAATAAAGGCCAGTCACAATCAAATTCGATAGGGCTTCGCTTTAGCAGCATGCTTCAGTACTACTCCACTAAACAATGGTTCTTGATCACCGAATATGCTAACGACCATTATCGATAGTAACAACTCCAATTTATGGTCTCGTCTTTCCCTTGTTTTAAATATCACATTCCTTTGCCATCAACTTTGCATAGCTAGCTAGTTCGTTAATCTTCAAAGTAGTTGTGAGTTCAATTCTTAATTTTTCAACTATGGCAGCAGTAGTTGCACTTGCTTTCGTCATTCTCATGTTCTCAGTTTCATCTCCGGTCAGAGCACTGAGCTCAAACTACTATGACCACACGTGCCCTCAGCTTGAGTCCATTGTTACGAGTGCAGTCAAGAAAGCAATGTCGAATGACAGAACTGTTCCAGCTGCGCTGCTTCGCATGCACTTTCATGATTGCTTTATCAGAGTATAGAATTTTTCTTTTTTAAATATTTGCTAATGTCTTATTCTCTGTTACATACACATACAAAGGAACACAAGGATACAGAGGCTCGGATAATATGACTTACTTTTTGTTTGATCTAACTTGAAAGGGCTGTGATGCTTCTGTGTTGCTGAACTCAAAGGGAAACAACAAGGCAGAGAAAGATGGACCTCCAAACATTTCATTGCATGCATTTTATGTCATTGACAACGCAAAGAAAGCGTTGGAATCTTCATGCCCCGGCGTGGTTTCCTGTGCTGATATCTTGGCCCTGGCTGCCAGGGATGCAGTTGCTCTGGTTAGTAACATTGATATTAATACCATTTGATTTGCTTTTGGTCATTCTTATCAAGTTGTAGTAACTGATTCCAAGTGCCCTACTTTTAACTGTTTGTGGTCATCTGTTATATTTTCAGTCTGGCGGTCCCACTTGGGAGGTGCCCAAAGGAAGGAAGGATGGAAGAATTTCCTTGGCAACTGAGACCAGACAGTTACCTGCTCCAACCTTTAATATATCACAGCTACAACAAAACTTTGCTCAGAGAGGTCTCTCCATTGAAGATCTAGTTGCTCTTTCAGGTATATCCCTTTATAATCATCTTCCAAGTCCAGTAAAATAGCTTCACCGCCCAGAAAACATACTAATAACTCTAGCCTGACATCCTAATATTTCCACCGACATCTACCCAAGCTGATTCCCATGGCTTAATAGGCACAAAAAAATTGCTCGATTTTCATTTTACAAAATTCGTTTTTCACGGTCTGCCGGATTCCCATGTTGAATCTAATTGATTGGAGTTCTTAAGTAAAAAATTCCTGGAATTAAGACATGATGAAGATTCCTTGTTGTTTATCTTGCGTGCTGACGGCCTTTTACATGTAGGTGGTCACACTCTGGGGTTCTCCCACTGCTCTTCTTTCCAGAACAGAATTCACAGCTTCAATGTCACCCTCGACGTCGACCCAACCTTGAATCGGTTCTTTGCCGCCAAGTTAAGGAGCGTGTGTCCGGCCCACAACAAGGTGAAAAATGCAGGCTCACCCCTGGATTCTTCCACCTTTGTATTTGACAACGCATACTACAAGCTGCTTCTTCAGGGGAAAGGCATCTTCTCTTCCGATCAAGCTTTATTCACCACCCCAAAAACCGCAGCATTGGTCTCTAAATTTGCCAGCTCCCAGAAGGCTTTCGAGAAGGCCTTTGTGAATTCCATGATCAGGATGAGTAGCCTTACCGGTGGGAAAGAGATCAGGCTAGACTGCAGAGTGGTCAGGTGAGTTCGAAGCCAATTCCGAGTCACCAAGGTTGAAGGCCATGCATCAAGTTATCATCTAGCCAGTTCTATCATTTGTTTAGAGTTATCGAAACAATAAGAGTGAGAGAAGCAAGCGTGTGATTGGCCTGCCGTCAAAGAGAACGGATAGGAATTTGTATTTGAAATGTTATTTATCATGTGATTTAATGGAAAAACCAAAATCCTAGTGCTCTGTTTTATTGTTTGCTTGATTCCCATCCTTGAATTTTCCAATAAACATGAAGCAAGTACACTACAAAAAATATGGTTTTTACTGATCACAAATAAGTGAAAAGTAAATCATCAATAAAAATTACCGACTGAGTATATATGGTCAATAATCAATCGTTAAAATTTAATCACAAAAAATTAAAAAAAAAACATGACTGTAAAACTATGGATTAACATTTCCGACCACAATAGATATTATCAATGGAAATCTGAAAAAAAAAATCCCATATTTTGTAATGGTACTATCAAAACGATATTTCAACTATAGAAATAAAGTTTTTCTAGTATTTAAATTTGAACGATGTTTTAATTGGGTGAATAAATTATGGTTTGATTCTCTTAAAAATGTCCATAAACAACTACTACCATAAGCTATTCATAAGAGAAAGAAAACAAAGGTTTAATAATACTCAAACTTAGCTCAAACGTCATCTGAGAGTTCATGCAAATTAGACCGAAAAAATTATTGGGCTCAAAATTTAGGCTGGTCTAATCTTTATGAAGTCCAATCGAGAATTCAAAAATGCACCTTCTAATTTAGATTTGGGCTGCTTGGGCCCAAACCGGAGTTCCCGTCTTCTGTAAAACATGTCGAAGTTCCAGTAAAACTCTTGTGCTCTTTCCCCTCCGTTAGATTCCGTTAAGAAATCAATGTCGGATGACATGGCTGACCGAAAACGCAAACTGGAAGAAACAACCGTGTTGAACAGCTTACACGAAGAAGAAGAAGAAAAAGCAGAGTATGAAGAGGAAGAGTTGCATGAGCTTCTGGTCCCTGACGTATCCCTACTTCCTCCCACACCTCCCTCTGCTGTTGAAACCAACTTTGTCTCTTACTTTGCTCCAGGTCCCTCCCCTTTTTCGCGGTTAATAATTCGTCTTTTGAATCTCTGACTGAAAAAAAAAATTTGTTTTTTGAATCTTAAAGCTCGGATTTTACAGATTTTATGAAGCCAGGAAACGACCAGTACGTTTATCGCCATGCCAATGGGTAAGAGGTCTTTTAATTTTCGTTTTTTGGATTTAAATAGGTTTGAAATATTGGATTGAATAAAGATTTTTCTTTTTTGTAATTTTGTAGATTGTGTGTTGTTGGCTTGGCTTCGACTCACCTGGCATTTAAGGATAAAGGTGGGATCACGGCGGTTGATTTTAATGTCGGCAAATCCGATCGCAGTGGCATGAAGGTCACCGGAAAGAGAAAGAGGGTATCTCTATTTAGCTCTCTCTTTGTTTCTATAATTGATTAGAAAATTATCTGAATTTTATTTTATAATTGAAATTTCAGTTGGGGTTTTAAAGAGGTTTTTCCATGTGATATCAAATTGTTAATGGTTTAAATTAGGAAACGAAAGTAAGGTGCATTCGCATTTCTTATTACGAATTTATGATATTAGAGAGGTTAATGCAAGCATTTAGCTTAGAGAAAGTTTAATTGAAGCTAGATGTGATGCCCTTGCAGAATGCACAACATTTCGAGTCCAATACAGCTTTGTGCAAGGTTTGCACCGGTGATGATTCCTATGTTGTGAGGTATGTATGATTATTTTCAGCATTATTTTTTGTGAAGCCTCTATCCCTCTCCCTCTCCCTGCTTCTTTTCATTTTTTGTTCTTGTTGAAGTGAATAGCAGTTTCGGGCAGGTGTTGTGTTAAAGGCTCTCTTTTGGAAGTGAATGACAGATTAATTAAGCAGCCAGAACTGCTTAATTCGTCGGTGAGAATACGTAGCTGCCCTTATTTACCGGTTTTCAATTCATATATGCTCAGAAGATAGGAATTATGTGATTGAATGCATGTAATAGTGTCACATCGTTCTCATCTCTTGCACTCTTTGTTCTCCCCCGATAATTCGAAAGTCATATGTTAGGGTAAATGATGATTAGTGTTTTAAAGTTTGGGTGAGTTGTTATAATGTAGCCAATGCCTGCTTGGTCTGGTGAATTACAGACTTCACTGTTTGTGCAAAAGATAGAAATAAATATAAGGCTTATCATTCTGAGCAAAGTTTATGAGAATAGTATTGGTGTGTTAATGAAGAAATGTCCAAATTTATTGATGCTCGACCAGGATCTGGATCCCGAGTGGCTTCTTCACGATTATTTGGAAATCATTGGGAGACAGAAAATAGGAACATGTAAATTTTTAAACAAATACCAATAAACAAGTTGTGGCTTTAATTGATAGCGTTTCTTATCTGCATGATTTAGTTATTTTGTGGTCATGGATTAAATGAATTTCGCTTTAAGGTGAAGAAACAAATCATGTCTAGAAAAGGAAATAGTTCTGTATCTTTGATGGAAGTCCTGGTCTTGTTTTAGCCAAAATTGTTTTGCATGGTCAGCTATGCATTAGTCTTGCAAGTGTAGATTCTGCCTTTGATGGAAGAGAGTTGCCAAATTTTGATTGGTGTAGATCTTGTGAATCTACAATCAATCAATGATTAGGTGAAGACGAGATCTAATCGGTTGCGCTAAACTGGTAATACGAAGGCTGGTGAGCTTCAATTCCTAGGTCATTCTTAGTCCTTCCCGACAAATAAAAGGACATAAAGAACTCATGTTTTCTGCAACTGGATGCAAAATTCCATTAGTCTAAAACTTTTTGGCTAGAATCTGATATAGGTAGCTTATTGTGCTGAGTTTGTTTAGGGCCTTTTAGTTTGACTATTTGTTGTGTAAGCGTTGCAAAGACTCTGCTCCAGACAAGCTGAATGTTTTTTCTTCTATTAGAGGTGAAGGATCTAGCATACTATTATCTATGTAATTGAAAGTCTATTATAAAGATTTACTCACTTGGGTTATGGTATCAACGTATAAATTTTACTAGTAAGTCACATTGTTTTTTCATTCTACGTGGTACTGATTTTATAGCTTCTATCAGTTGTTAAAACTGTGATTTGTCTATGTTGTTTACTGCAGGCAGATAGAGAAGGATACATAGCAATTATTATGCCAAAGCCAGCAGACTGGCTCAAGGTCAAAACTTCCTTATTGAGCCTTGAAGAATTCAAGAAATTGAGAGAACTTTGCTGAATTTTTAGTAGGAACGGATTTATTAGTTGATCTTGCAGCAAACAGGAAATCAGTGGAAGCCAACTCCCTCACTGAATTCATGCAAAAGGAATCCCGTTGTCACCAGTTTGTCTGATGGTTTCACCGAGTTAAGTTCATCACTATGATGACGCTCTAACATTATTTAATCTCCATGGGGGAGGGGTGAACTATGTAACATTGCTCACATTTTTGTATTTCTTGAGCGAAATAATTTTAATGACAATTAAGACTGTGTATTCAGTTTGTTCTTAACTGTTCTTTTTTCTGAGAAGCATTTCTTACAAACAGTAGTTCAATCGGAGCTAAAGGTAAAACATGAAACTCTAAACCTTTTTCAACTTCTCAATGCAATGGTATTACATTTACAGAGACAAAAAGAATGAGCATGATAAGCCATGCAAACTTCTCAATGCAGAAATTACATTCAGATTGTAAAGTAAAATTTGCCCTGTATATTTACAAAGACAAAGAATGAGACAATCCTTGGCTCTGCAAGGAAATAAAAGAACTGGCTATTTGATTAACTAGCAATTGCTTAACTCTGTAGCAGGAAAACGGAGGGTAAAGAAGTTGAGGCAGATCTGTCAATTTCCTTTACCTTGATGATTGTAAAGCCGCGGAAGTGTCCGAGTCATTGTACAGATTTCAACCTTCCTGGCACTTACGCCAAGATCACTGTCTTTACGAAACTCTATAAGCACGACAAAAGTATTCTCCTTGAAAAGCACGATAAAAGCATTCTCCTTGAATAGCACTGACTATGGTTGGGCATCGATTATTTCTTGTATAACGAGCCTTCTCGATCTGTTAATTGTGTGGAAACATAGTTGAGTATGTTGCTCAAGCTCTTGCAACTGCTCCAAGAAGCTGGAATCGTGCATTGAGAATTCTCTTACCACCTCCTTCAGCAGCTCAACTTTCCCATTTCTAATGCACATACTAGCTATAGCTTTTCGGTGCTCTATCTCATCGTGCAGCCTCCATACCAATCTGCTCATGGTATCAAAATCATTGATCAAAATATAAATTCCTTTGGCTGAGATTTCAAGCTGCGCACCAAGTCTTTCGAGCGAGCTTGTCTTAAGTCCTTGCTTATCGGATGACCTGCTTCTTCTCTTCTTCTTTATGCCGAAGCAGCAGGCTGCAAGCCCCGGTGCTGCTACAATTCCAACCATGCTGTGGAATGCAAGTACCATCATGGAAATTACGAGACTAGTATTAGAAATTACTAGACAAAGACCCCCTATTTTTTTGGAGATTCTTCTAGATTTCACTTGCCTTTTAATCTTTTTGCCTTTTGATGTTAATTTATGGAACAAATCCACGTTAGTCTCATGAATATCCCTGAATTGCACTGGACTGATAATCGATAATGGATTTTTAAGTGATGCAAATCCAGCCAGCTCCTTTAGTATAACGCTGCATTGCTCATCTGAAAAACCTTGCATCCCCTCGCTTATCTTGATCACCCTTCTAATTTTCCGATAATAAAGGCGCATCTGCTGGATGCTTCGGAGGAGTAATTCACATAGATTGCAAGCTTCCAAGCCAGCTTCAAAGTAATCAAGAAGAAGTTGATGACAATTCAAGCTCTCTATCTTGTCTAGCGTTTCTTCCCTTGGTTTAAGCAGGTACTCGGACAGGTTTATCTGATAAGGAATAGAAGATGATGAAGGGAGTCTATCAAAGCTAGTTTTTTCCAGTTGACCATGAACCTGGCTCCACATTTCAACATAAGACTTTGTCCTGAAAGCTTCCTCGTACTCTTCATTCACGTTTGTCTTGCCGCTCAAGTTACCTCCACCCTGCATCTGCAATCTGCCTGAGATAACAAACAAAAGCCACAAACCCAATAAGGTTTTCCACAATCAGTATCAAACCAAACCCGCCATGCTCCATTGCTAGAACAGATTCGGAGGGCAACAAAAACCATGAACACACGCCTTGTAATCAAAAGAATGGAAAACACACAAGCTCTTAAGATTTATCAAACCGAATTCCTGGAACACTGACCTGATTTCACCTCTGGCCGGATCATCTTTCTCCCTCGAGACATGTTCTTCAACACCAACGCTTCCCGTTTTGAAAAAGTTTCGATGAATCAGATCATCATCAGATTGCATAGCAAATATAAGAGTTGGATGGCCTGACGAGAAGATTTTATATTATAAAACAAAAAAAGAAGTAGAGCGACGCTAGAAATCGTTATAGCTTTTGTCCCACGATTGCGTCCCTGACACGGTTGTTAATCTACGTGGAATGTCTCGAGACAAAGCTTGCCTAATTCTAACAGTGCGGCAAAGTTCGGAAGTTACGACTATTGAAGTTGCTTCATACGCTATTAATTTTTTTTTTCTTTTTTATTCATCCAAATAAAATCTTATCGGTTTATTTTTTTTCTTTTATTTGCATTATTTTTCCCTTTCTGGTAAATCTTGCTTTCTAACCCTATAAGTTAGACAACGCGTTCTCAACCTTTTCTGGATTATCATGCATGTATCATTTATGTTTCATAGTTCAAGCTTTTCTGGATTTTACTATTTTAACAAGTCTAATTTTTAATAACAATAATTATCCTTTCAATTAGTGTACGTATCATAAAAAAAAAAAATTGATGACATAGTCTTTCAGTGTAAAAAGAGAGAATTTAAGTATGCAACGTAATATTTGAATTAAGCACATGATCTAAATAAGAATAGATGACTGGATCATGAGTCATGGTTCATTAAGGATATTTGTAACACCAAATTTTTGTGTTTTGCCTGTCCCTTTGGTTGGAGTATATACAATAAAAATATTCAATTATAGAGGTTTTCAATTACCATATATTGATGTTTATTTTAGGAAGTTGATAAGATTACAAATTATCTCTTTTTTTTTGGTATCTTATATATATACTATAATTTTAATAATTTAATGCGTAAAAACCCATAAATCATTTATTATATCATCAAAATTTATTTTATTGATTAAATATTAGCATTTTAGATATTTTCAAGATTGAAATATAAGATTAAGAGGAGCGTGTGATTAGAACAAATTCAGAGAGGAAAACCATTTTGCTTTCGTTAAGCTTCAATTAGATAAGAACTTAATGACTTGGCCAAGTAGATGGAAAATGCAACACATTTCTCAAACTGTTAATAATTTGACTAGGAGCGGATCTGTGTTGATATAAGTGGTGTTAGATCACAATCCCTGCTAATTATACTATTTCTGTTAAATTTTATGTAGTTAATAATGTTAATAAATCTATTTTTTTTAATTATTATTAATTATGACACCACTTGAAAAAATTCTTGAATTCGTATCTAAATTTAACAGATAAATTTTCTTAAAATTAACGTACAGAGAACACATAAAACAATGTTAATAGTTAATTAATTTGTTGATCATTTAGATCCGTTCTAAGGAGCTGATAATAATGAAAATATTACTGATTTTTTTTTATTTGAGATGAAAATAATAATATGGCTAAGCCGTTACCTTCTTCGCTTTGTTGTCCAGTTCAAGAACTTGTTTGCCCCCTATGGGAACACTCCATGTATACGCGCAAACTTTGCCAAAATAACTAGTCATTTGGAGAGCTTAATGATTGCTTTCCTAGTTCAAATTTAGCCCTCGGGAATTTCTTGCTTCCACTTCTCCTCATCTTGATATGGACAAGATGAAGATTTTATATCAAATACGAGATCAGGAATTGGCCACGTAATTAATTAAAACTATGCTTGTTTGGACCTCCCATCATTATTTTATCAAATCAAGTGCTAATGACATATATATAGGAAGCTTTGCATCTCCATAATTATGTCATATTTAGAGAGTAATTTTTTTTTTTGAAAGACAGAGTAAATTTTATTAAACATGAAAAACTTTAAATTCTATAAAAATAATAACTTATGCTTTTATTTATTTATCATATTAATTTATTAATTATTTTGAACAAATCATAATAGGGTTATGTATGTAATAACTCCCTAATCTCATTGGTTAAATTCTATGGATGATGTATAGGTTAAAAACATAACCCAAAACAATATCCCACTTGATATATATATATATATATATATATATATATATATACTATTATAATTATATTTTTGGTGGTTAATATTGGCATTTAAGCAAAAAAAATTGATTCCATATATAACATTACCACCTAATTTTGACAAGAGGGCTAGCAGAAGCCACTGGAAGATACATATCCTTGTCCTACTTGATTTATCTAACTATTTTTAGCTTTTTATATATGGATGATGTTCACGATGAATCATCGTGTATGATAGAGACGATTTTCCCCTGGTCAATGGCTTCCAAACAAAATACAATAATATCTCATCTTCAGCAGAAAGATATTCGAAATTGGGAAAATCTTAAGCATTGGGATGATAACATTTTGTGATAAATCATAGGGTCCTTGTCCCTTTTTCTCTGGGGAAAATTTGGAGGACTTGGTGAAAGGATTTATTCTATCCTGGCCAAAGAAAAAAAACAATTGTAGGACTATGATCCCCTTGAAAGGTCATCTTCTCCAATAAAAATAATATACAGACAAAGGAGGGGAAACCGAAGAGATGCTTGCAAGTTGCAGCAGAAGGAGAAAGATAAGTAGTATTCCTACTACCCCTATGATGATTGATGTTTCTTAATGCTTGCAGCGATTAATGAAAAACAAAATTCTTCAATAGGAGAGTGCTCTAAGCCTTGAAAGGACCTGCAAATGATTTGTGGTGGAAAAGTAGGCACTATTATTAATAAATGACGTTTGATTTATTTTTTTTATTGAAAAATAATTAAGACAGAGGATTTAATTTCTCAAAGAAAAATGTCAAATTGATATCATATTCAAGAAGTTTGATTAATTATTCCAAGTGGATTCTTTTGTAGCTTGGTCATTGATAGGCCAAAAGGCATGATGGTGTGGGAAATGGCGGGTTTTTTTAGCTTTTGTTCTTGTACATGTATAAATAATGAACTGCGTGAGTAAGATTGGAGAAGCCCTAGAGGACAGTCCGAGTTCAAATCTAAGCCTTGAAATGCGTAGGGTTGTTTCTGGTGGGTTGCCCTGTTCATTTCAGCTCATCGGTTGGACTCTGCATAGCATGCCAAAATGCTCAAGCCTGATTTTACAGGGATAGATTCTTCTAGTTTGCCCGAATAATACTAAAAGCAAACAAAGAAATTATAATACTACTAAACGTTACAAAGCAAGCATTTCGTGAAGATGAGCATTAAACAGCTGGTGGTGATTGGCAATTGTAGGTGTCGCTTGCCAAAGGAAGAGGTAGGAAAACCAGTGATCCTGAATCTCTAAAGCTTAGACCTTCCAGCAATGTCGATTACAAAACGGTATCTAACATCGTTTCTCGCAAGGCGATCCAGGGCTTCATTGATTTGATCTGGCTCGATGAGCTCTACATCGCATGTGATGTTGTGCTTGCCACACACATCCATCATTTCTTGGGTCTCTTTCATGCCGCCTGTCATGCTCCCCTTCACTGCTCTCTTCCCTGGAATAGATATGGAGGAAAACGGGGAAAAAGTTGTTTAGTTTTCTGTCCTCTCATTGTCTATCTATGTGGACAAGACAAATGGGAAAGGTGTACCAAATATTAATGGAAAAGAAGGAAGATCCATTGGCCTGTCTGGTGCCCCCACAACCACTAAAGTCCCATTTACTTTGAGTAGTTCCAAAATCGGTCCTAGTGAGTGTTTGGCTGAAACTGTGTCCAAGATAACATCTAGCGTTCTCTTACCTCTCTGTGAACATAAAACCCACCAGATTCAAAAACCTTGGAAAAAGTCTCTACAAAGTGAAATCTCATAGTTCCCTCGTGAAACAAGCAGAAATTTAAGAGAAACAAACCAGCATTTGTTCTTCATTCGTGCTAACTATGAAACCATCTGCGCCCAAACGCTGTCTAGCCTCCTTTTCTTTTGATGGAGAGGTGCTGATGACGGTTACGTGATGACCAAATGCCTTTGCCATTTTGACAGCAACATGACCAAGACCGCCTAGACCAACTATTCCCACCATTTTCCCTGGTGACTCGAGTAGCTGGCTATCTTTCATGGGGCTAAAGACGGTGATCCCGGCACACAACAGCGGCGCTGCTGCATCCATTGGCAGGTTATCTGGCACATGGACCACGTACCTTCACAACAAATATCCCAAAATAAGTAATCATCCAATTCCACATAAAGAAACTTTCTTTTTCTGGCTCTGATAAACTACTGACCTGTGATCTGCGACTAACATTTTGGAATATCCACCATAAGTAATGCTACCGTCCCAGAAAATGCCGTTGTAGGTGAACTGGATCTGATCACAGTAGTTCTCCTGCGAGCTTTTGCAGAACTCACATTCCAAACAGGATGCTGCCAAACACCCAACCCCTACCCTGTCTCCTACTTTGAAATTCTTGACATTGCTTCCCACCTTGGTGATCACCCCAGTAATTTCATGCCTGCACAAGTAACCATTAACCCATAACCAAAAGATTCAAGATTCAATTTCAATTTACAGTTTTGTTTTTTTGTTTAATTACATTGTTTGGTCAATGTTAAGGCCATTTTAGTCAAAAAGAAAATTACTTCAGACTGAAGTGGCTAAACTCTGAAATTTGTCGAAAGAGCAGCCACTTCCTCCCACCTCCACAGAGAGAGAGGATAGAATATAAAACAATAACAACGATGATAAAAGAATCTAGAAGTACTGCTAGTAGTCAAGTAATAAACGTGGCCTTTCAAAAAATAATAATAATAAACGTGATAATTAAGAATTTAGACCTTCAGATTCTTAAACTAATTCATCAACCCTTCCCCCCGCCCAAGGAAAAAACAACTGAAAAAGGGTCGAGATTCTTTACCCAGGAACAACGGGATACATGGTTATGCCCCAGTCGTTCTTAACGTGATGGAGATCAGTGTGGCAGATCCCACAGTACAAAACTTTAATGGTCACATCGTTCACGCCATTCTCCCTGTTCATATTCGCCTCTTCCATGGTTAGCAACAGTTAATCCTACTAAACGAAAGATAGTGAAAAGTGAAAACTAATTTTGTGAAAACATGCTACCTTCGTTTGAAGATGTAAGGGGCGATCTTGCCAGAGGAATCATAAGCCGCCCACCCTGGTACCGTTTGCGTGTGGTTCGGCTTTTCCACAGCCATGCGGACGAAAAGATAGAAACGTACGAACACACAAACAAGCAAAGTGAGTGAGTGAGTGAGAAAGAGAGAAAGCTCAGAGCCTGTATTGAATGTAAAACGTAAGAGGGAGGGTGGTATTTATAGCGAGTGTCAGGGAGACAACGAACGAGTAGAGGCCGGGACTTAATGCTTTTATTTTTTGTTCCTAACAGACAATTGTTTAACAACCAAATACATAGAAAAAAAGGATGATTCCTTCGTATGAAGTATGAAAGATGGGGTGTAATTCAAGTGCAATTTCGTGGAACGAAGACCACTACAAAAGTTGGGTAGTTGAGTGCTCTTCATACTTCTCCACTTGACGCTGGCTATTAGGCTTTCAAAGTCTTTTCCCTGAGGTCAAACGACCCTTTTTATTAATGGGATGGTCACTATGACCATGAGCCTTGTGTGACTCGTGGGCTTCAGCCATTTTCTGGTGGAGAACCACGTTAGTTTAATAACATTTACAGTGAAAAATATGAGAATTCTGCAAAAGTTAAATAAGTTTCACGACTCCACGACTCTACTTGTTCTGCCTTAAGATGAACTTATTTAAGTTAAAAGGACATGGGCATTCTGCAAAGAGCTCTGCATCCATGTCATCGTCTCTGCCTTTCCTCCTAGCATTTTTTCCAAAAGTCGAGTTGCTAAGAAATGGTTGAATATGGGGCCTACAAAAGTCGAGTTGATAAGAAATGGTTGAATAAGGGGCCTACGGTCCTACACATATTTATGGACATCTCTGACCTTCAATTTTCTGTCGGTTCCCTTCTTGAAATTCCGAAGAAATTGCCGTATGGAATCATCTCATACAAGAGTATATAAGTCCTTGTGATGACGGCATATCATTTTTGGTTCCACAAGAACTAGAGTTATGAGCCGTGCGTTACACACGGGTCAAAGAATCCACGTGTTAAAAATTGAAAAAATCAACAAATTTATGATAAAATTCTTCTGACTCTCAATTTATCACATGTCAAGCCCCTAACTTAATGTTCAAGAATTTTAAAAACTTTTCTTCAAGTTTTTACGTGAATACCTTTTTAATTGGCAACTGATAAAATAAAAAAAATTAAATTTTTTTTTAAGTATGTTATAGATATTTAAGTTTTTTTTTATCAAATTTAGAATTGAAATTATCTCCCATGGTTCATATGGAGTTTAATTAGTTAATTCAAAAAAAAAGTATGAATATAAAAAAGATTTGATAAACTGATAATCAAGTTAAGAGAAACATAAAAACTAAAGCCTACTCCATCAAATTAAATACTTGCTCCGTCTGATTTAATTCACTAATTCACTTTACTCGTGTATGTTATATGATTTTTTTTATGAGATTGAGGCTCCATTTTGAATTTAAATAAACACAAATTTTTTATTACTTTTAATTTTATATATATAATGAATCAATAAAGATATTAGCTTTATAAATTTATAATTTTGTTCCGTTTAATTAATACATTTAAATAAAAAAACTTTAGGTGAACTTGATTCTCTCTCCACATCTAATATTTGGATAAAAGAAAAAAGTCATAAAAGGTAAAAATAATGTATATCAAAAGAGACTTTAGGTAATTAATTCAATGAAATCAAATCGAACAAATTAATTAAAAGACACGAGACACTCACTACTTAAACTATTCGCATACGATTATTTCTTTTTTGTTGGATTGTTTATATCTTTAATATATTTATTTGTCTTTCAGTAGTTTGCCAAAAACAAAAAAAAAAAATCATCTCACTTTAGATTAGTAGATTGGAATTAGTTGAAAACTTACTAGACTTGACCATGGTTCTAAAATTGGACCTGGTCCAATAACTATTAGACATCTAAAAGCTTTCTTAGGCTTCCAACTCCCGGGCTGGTCACGGACTCAAAGCACCCTTGAGTTCAGACCAAGCTTGAGCTGTTTCGGTCCCATCCTTTATCTTCTTGATCCACTCCTTTGAACTTTAAAGAATTTTTACTAATTTGCACTTTAACAAAAAATTTTAATAAAAATTTTAAATTAAAAAAATAATATTTTTTAAAAATTAAATTATTTAAAAATTTAAAATAAATTTTTATTTTTTTAACACATTCAATCAAACTTTTATATTTTTATGTTGGGACAAAAATATTTTTATATTTTTTTAATTAAATAAGTTACAATAATTAATGATTGACTTAATTAAAATGTAATTTTATCATTTTATGTTACGTGATATTAATATATTATGTTAATATATCATGTTGGATGATAAAATGATATACTGATGTAGCATATGTCATGTGTTATTATTTACATAAACGCAACATCAATGCCACATTGACATAAAAATAATAAATATTATATTAATTAATAATAGTTAATTAATTATTAATTATGAAAGTTTATTTGATTAAAAATAAAAATATATAGACTTAATTAAACATAATAAAATAATAAAAACTTATTTACATTTTTTTACATAATTTAACAATTTATCAAAAATTATGTCAAATAAAAACTATTTGATGATCTCATACCCATTTGTTTACTTTTTATTTATGTTTCCACACTTGTTCTCCTAGGAGCAAATGTATATACAATTGAATATATGAAGATAAAAAGTGAATAAATTTTTATAAATTTGTATATTACCTTAATGATGACAAATATTCCTTCTCTCGACTTCAATGTGAAACCAAACTAAAATTAAATTCCTATTCATATTTCAAATATTAAAAAATATATTTGACATTTCTTCAGAATATATAAATTAAGCTGTTGGAGATATACATAAAGACATATATAATTGAAACTGACCAAATGCATTGCCAAAAAGTCAAGTCAAAGTTGGAAATTAGATTCCCAAAATTGGATTCCCTTTAACAACCTCAGGATTTTGCATAAAATTACCAATTCATTTTGATAATATAAAATTAATTATTCACAAAAGCACTCCTAAAATCCAAACTAAATTCTTGTCCTTTCAATTTTTTTCAATGACTACAAAACGGTGGCGTATCGTTGGTGGGTTAGGAACAAACAAGCTGAGCCCCGAGAGGAGAGACAGAGGGAGAGAGGTGTCGTTTTGGTAATTTCCGTGTTTCCATAACAAAACCTGCAGCTTCCGTTCCCTTGCTCCTGAAAACAAAGCCCAAAAAGGCACAAACCCCAAAGGAAAAGAAATTATATAAAAAGAAAGGAAAAAAAAAAGGAAAAACAAGGCCAAACAAAAACACAAAGTAATAAATAAAAAAGAGAGAAGAGAAAGGAAGGAAAGAAACCTAAACAACGCAACACAGCCTTCGGTGCTTTGGTAATTCGGCGGTTCGCTCGTGCGTTTCACGTGTTAGATCCGTCATCCTTCCCCATCAGATTCCTGCATTCTCCTTAAACAAACCCTAAATGCTCTGTCTCTCGCTGCTTCCGTCGTTGGTATGCGTTTCGAGGTTAATTAAGGAAGGATTTTGATTAACCGATTAAATATTAATGTGTTGTGCGATAGACACCGATTTTCCGTTTTCCGATACAATTTTGTTTTGAGTTTTAAAAAACCCTAATTTTCCGAATGGCTATGACCGCTGATTCTTCTTCTCCACGCGACGGTGGTCTCAACAGCCCTCAGTTCCGCCGCAAAAATTTGCCTTCTCCTTGGGCTCAAGTTGTTCGAGGCGAGTCGGAATCAATCTTAGCCGTTCATCATACCCCTTCTTCGCCATCATCAGCAACCTCACCCCCCGTCGCTTCCCTACCGGAGCAAACAACTTTTTCAGATTGCTCCCCTTCGAAAGCGGCTTCCTCCTCCTCCTCCTCCTCCTCCCCTCCGCCGGATAACTTGGCCGCCGACGGTGGTTCTGATTCGAATAGCAACAACAATGCGGCTGCTCGGTCCAAGAAGCCGGCTTGGAACAAGCCTTCAAATGGCGTCGTTGAGGTGAGCCCCGTAATGGGAGCTGCGTCTTGGCCTGCTTTATCTGAAGCCGCCAGGGCTTCCCCCAAATCATTAGCTGACTCTTCTTCCAAGACTGTTCCTGATGGATCGCTTTCTACTTCTCAGGTTTGTTCAAATTCTTTTCATTTTGCCCTTGTTAATTTATATGCGTATTAAACTAGGAGAACAGGAAAGGGAAAAGAATCTCTTTACTTGCCATATTTATTTCTTGTTATGCAACCGAACACAGAATGACTTCTTATTTTAGTTATTAATTAATAATTAAATAAAAGCTGACTGTAATTTTGTGGTAATAATAGGGACCGGTAATACCCCAATCAACTCAGAAGCAAGGTACTAGTAATGCAAATCCGACTTCAACACCAAACCGTACAATGTCAGGTCGGCAAAGGTCTTCTAAGCGTGGTGGCAGTGGTGGAGGCAATAACTCTGCTAGTGGGCCTCCACAGAGTGGCTTTTCTCATCAACACCCGCCACCACCACCGCCGCCACCGCCATTTCCAGTTTTACAAATCCCTCCAAATAGTTATGGTAATTATGTTCCAGCAATGCCGGATCCTTCCATGAGAGACCCTCAATACAGGAGCAATAATTGGGAAAACAGACCAGTCGGAGGGTTTGCGTCTCAATCACACAATGATCACAGGCATTCTTCTCGGAGAGGAGGCAACTATGGACCGCGTGGAGATGGTGGCTATCATAACAATTATGGGGGCAGGCGTGATCAGGATCGTGGAAATTATGGCAATGGAAGAGATGGTCATATACAGCATCAGAGAGCTCCTCCAAGGGGCTTTCCAAGGCCTCCGCCACCCAGTGCTCATTCTTTTGTTCCTCCTCAGCCTGTGAGACCATTTGTGAATCCCATAGGATATCCTGGTACGTTCATATATTAAGAGCTTGTTTCTTTCTGTCATGTGGGTGTTAAGTAATTTTTATCTTCTCTTCAGAGTTTATATATTTCCCTACAATGCCCATGGAGCCATTTAGGGGTATGCCATTATTTACCCATGCCCCACCTCCTGCAATGATTATGCCTGTTCCGGAACTTCCTCTGCCTGCTTTGTTATTACATCAGATAGATTATTATTTCAGGTAATTTCACGTTGTCAGCTAATTTTGGTGACTTTTTGTTTGACCTAATGGCTTATTTTTGAGAATTCTCTTATAATAAACTGCCTCTGCGTTAATGGTCTAATTTTTTTTTGCTGCAGTGATGCTAATTTGGTAAAAGATGAGTTTTTGAAGTCTAACATGGATGATCAGGGCTGGGTACCCATTTCTTTAATAGCAGGATTTCCTCGAGTAAGT